CACACACGATGAAGGCTCAGTCTCTGCAATCTGTGATGCGAAAGTGTTGAAAGGGGTGTTGCACATAAAATCACTGACGGCGCAGTTTGATGGCTGTCAAGAGAGCGTGGCTGGGGCGAGGCTTCGGACGGAAGTGCCAATCAAGGGCAGAAGCTTTACTCGAGTCTTCTGGAAGACAAGGTCAATGGGTGTAGAGTTGAACGTAAACACGAATGGTCCCCGACATGAACGTTGCCTTTATCAACCCCTCTGGGCAGAATGAGGAGTTGACGCCATCATGAGACCGTGACGTGAAGTCTATTCGTGAATGCGTGGCAGGAGCTTCGATGTTCACTCAACGCACATGCCCACATGAGCCAGGAGTGAGGAAAGGCGAGCCGGAAGTTGAAACGGGAGTAGAACCAGAGGTTTCGCGTGAAGACATGGAGAGGAGTGAGAGACTTGAAATCGAAGACGTGGAAACACTGAAAGAAAAGAGATGGTCGAGAGGAGAAAAGAGGCGTCGCTACGCAATCAGGACAGGTCCATATCAATACAGCCAACATTCCTTACCGATAAGGAGTGGGGGAGCTGGAGAGTTTATTTGCAATAGGTATCCGCGTAAAGTCGGACGCTCGTCAATCCCCCGACTTGGCACAGCTCACAAACCATGAGGTAACTGCAAGGGGCATAGCCGAGCAGCATTCAATCCCGGATTCGTTATGTCCTCCGAGGCGCTGCTAAATTCCCGAAAGCTTGTGGGTCGCAATAATTAATCACTCTCGACTCCCGCGAAACCATGATTTCGTCGTACTCCAAGCGATGTTAATGGTCGTCATCAAATCTGTGTCTTCAGCCATTGCAGAGAGAAACTCCGCTCATCATATGTTTCGTCGGACTTAGCAAGTCAGCAAAATGCGTTATTGCCATTGTGTCTCATTCACTGCCACGACCACTTGCAAGTTGCCCGTGGCGATCTCTTGGAAGCCTACCTCGGGGTCGGTCTCGGGTTGTCGATGTCATCCAAAAACCCGTCGCAGAGATTGGGGGTTCATCCAGCTTGACGGGACGTCGTACTGATCTGCAACCAGCTCTTGAACCAGCACATTCATCGGGTCTCCAATGACAAGTCCGCCTACGTCTCGTCTTTCGTCATGGTTGTCCCCCCCCCCTCTCCCGCTCGCACACACACACACCACACAAAGCACGAGTAATGAATCCTCGGATGGGCACTCAGTGGAGGGAAGGGTTCGAACTTCGAGGCTAGCGTAGGCCAAGACGGACCCCAAAACAACCCACTCAACGGCCCAGATCCCCGCGTAAAAGCAGTAAAGCTGCCGCGGCATCGTAATTATGCCTTTCTGATTCGCCAAATTCTCCCAAGATGTAACTTGGCACATCCCAAGACATTTGATGGCAACTGAACCGTTGCAGTGTTCCCGGTTCCTCTTTTACCGCCCCCTTATGCAGTGCACGCATGACACGGAGCACCACGTCCACAGTGCCATACGATCGACGACCACGATGGAAGGGTCCCAGAGTGCGAGACCGAACACGAGACCGACCCCTTTCCTTTACACGACAGCGTTGCAAGACTTGCCTTACAGGCTACTGGCCACTGTTGCCTTGCCCTAGAGGAGGCAGGCAGTAGAGCATTGATCACCGGCTGCGGGCCGCGACAGCTAAGCTACTGCTACTACTACACTAATGTGATCCACGCCGAGGATGGTCACCATTTGTTCTACATGTCGGTAATTGTAGTGAAACGCCATGGGTGGGGTTCAGGTTTCTCCCACAGAAGAGAAGAAGAAGGCATCCAAAGCATGGCATACTGGGGACGGGACAACCATGGGATGGAGATGGAGGGTCGCTTGTCACACGCTATTCCTCTGCAAAACATGGGACCTGAGAGAAACCGGTCCATGACCAAGTTCAAACGGTACCCTAAAATCCGCCGCCATGCCATGATGCCATGGGGAGAAGGTAGACGAAAACACACACCCCTCCCCGCCTTTAAGGCTTAGACATCTTAATTATCGTACTCGTAACTCGCATTCGTCTGAACTTGTGAGTCTGAAGTTGAGAATAAAACCAGCTTGATGGAACGCCCTGCCTTGTGATAATATTTGAGGTCTGGTTGTCAACTCATTCTCGAACTCTTCACCTTTCACCTTTTTCCTCTCTCTCTATCTCTGTCGCATCCTGGCACTCACAGAGAGTCAATTCTTTTCGCAAACATGAAGTTATTAGAACTTGGCTTCGTCAACACTCTAGGCCTGTTAGTAGGCGTTGTAAGTCCCTGTCTCCCGCTCTACCCCGGCCGGCACTTGAAAGCTTGATTTTCAGCTCCGTGAGGCTACACTACACAACCGAACACCGCAATCTAACAAACTTTCTGCAGTACGTCGCCTACCAGCTCGCTCAAGTATTCTACTGCCTCTTTCTCCACCCGCTCCGAAAGTTTCCCGGCCCGATATGGATGCGCACATCCCGCATCCCGTTCTGCTACAAGCTGCTCACCGGCACGCTCCCCTTTGACATGCTCGACCTGCACAGACGGTACGGTCCGGTCGTCCGCATCGCCCCCGATGAGCTCGCCTTCCACGACTCGCGCGCCTGGAAGGACATTATGGGCCACAAGACCCAGGGCGGCGCCGAGATGGAGAAATCGCTCAAGTTCTACCGCTCCGTTCCCGGTGCACCCTCCGATATCGTCAGCTCTGATCGCGAGGAGCACACCGTTCTGCGCAGATCCCTGGCGCACGGCTTCAGCGAGAGGAGCATGCGTGACCAGCAGCCTATGATCAAGGGATATGTCGACCTGCTCATCCAGAGACTTCACCAGCACGGAGATGACGGTGCGAAGCCCCTCGACTTGGCAGCCTGGTATAACTACACCACTTTCGACGTTATCGGTGACCTTGCCTTTGGTGAATCATTTGGTTGTCTCGACGGCTCAGACTACCACCCTTGGGTTGCGGCAATCTTCCAGATGGCGCGATTGGGCACTGTTTTGCAGACCGGAAAACACTACCCTTTTGTTATGAAGCTCATGATGGCCATGGTTCCTGAGAAGGCCAAGCGCGAAAGAGCGCATCACGAAGAGTTTACCGAGGCAAAGCTCAGACGTCGCATGGATTTGGGTTCGCGTCCTGACCTCATCGAGGGTCTCTTGAAGAAGAAGGAAGACTGGGTGCGTTGCGAATTATTTCAAAAATTTCGAGAAAACGGAGAAACTAATATCGTTTCCAGAACATGACTTTTGAGAAGCTCAAGGCCAACAGCAGCATTCTCATTATTGGCGGATCCGAGACCACAGCGACACTGCTTTCCGGCGTAACATACTACCTGCTGACGAACCCCGACGCGCATAAGAGGTTGACCGACGAGATCCGTTCCACATTCAAGGAAGAGAGCGAAATCGACTTCACTTCCGTCAGCAACCTGCCCTACCTTCTCGCATGCCTCGAAGAAGCGCTCCGCCTGTACCCCCCAGTGCCCATCGGACTGCCTCGCATTGTCCCTAAGGGAGGCGCGACTATCGCGGATCACTATGTTCCCGAAGACGTACGTACAGCTCCTTAAGTCCCAAAGTAAATGGACTAAGATTAACATTTGAGCTTCGCAGACAACTGTTTCTGTCTACCAGTGGGCTATGTACCACTCTGAGAAAAACTTCCGCGATCCCTTTGGCTTCCACCCCGAGAGATGGATGCAAGATCCCGTCTTCGCCAGCGATGACAAGGAAGCTTTCCAGCCATTCCACGTCGGACCCCGCAACTGCATTGGAAGAAAGTGAGTTTCCCATCGATATCGTACAGAAACCAACTCTGTGTTTAATGAACGATTGCTGACATGATTTACCTTCTCAGCTTGGCCTATGTCGAAATGCGCCTCATTCTCGCACGCATGTTGTGGAACTTTGACATCAAGATTGCCGATGACAGCCGCGACTGGGCTGGCAGACAGAAGATCTACCTGCTTTGGGAGAAGGGCCCTTTGAACGCTTACCTGAAGCCGGTCAGGCGTTGAACGCGTTGCCTAGACTCTGGACAGAACGCGAACCAGGAATCATGCGGTTGTGTGACTCTGTCTCCTCATACTCGACACGACACTTCTACATAAGTTCTAAACATAGACTACAAGTTACATAGCTCTTGGGCATTTTAGGCGTATTTCTTATTAGTCACGAATAGTATTTTTATATTTTAGTTCATATCATCAGTCGAAACTAATGGGAACCTTGCAAGAAAGACTTAAGCCATTGCTCGGACAGCTCGACGACACATCTAAACCACAAGCAGCGAGTGAGTGGTGACAATTCTTGTATCACTTGCAATCGGACTGCAACTCGTGGGCTCCCTTTTGCCAAGACAGAACGCAACATACATTTGTCGCTGGAGCTAAACATTGGCAAGGTTTCCATATGGTAGGCAATCTTCCTCTACCCCATCTACTCGTAATGATCGGCCTAGTTCATCGAAGTCATTGTGTCTCTAAACCCTGCAGATGGAGACTTCCCCTCCCGAATCTCAGATCAACCTTTAGGGGTGACAGGCCGTTTACGAGAATCCCTGCGAGGCATTGCGAAAGCGAATGCGCGGAGATTGAAACCAAGACGTTGCGTCGCCGTTGTGACTTGCCCATTGAGGACACTACAGCTGCATATGCGGCCCACGGAACCCGATTAGAACACATTAATTGTACCCTAAAGTCCGCTTGAATGTGCAGTTCCACAATACGTTGACTCAAGAAGACGAAATAACGCATATCTACGTATCTAGTTTCAGATCCGCGGTGCGATTGCTGAACAAGGACGAGAGATTATCGAAGATCATTCCCTATCACAAAGCAGACAGCTACACTACGAGTTTATCAATGTGAGTTTCGGCGATTAAAGGAGATGACACTCTGCATCATCCTGTCTACTTATGGTGAAGATTCGGCGAGATCAGTACAAGATTAAGTACATATCGTACCACATCTACATATCTATGTACTTGACTTGGCAATTCGAGCTCTCAAAGGGCACCCGGGCTGGGCGGTAACTCGCCCGAGTCCCACTCCGCGGGCTCCGCGCCCAACACAAACTCAAGCAGACCTCCCTGCTTGTTCTCCCCAAGTAGTTCATCGTGAGTGACCCAACTCTTGTTCCACTCCTTTCCGTTAACCTTCAGACTTTGAACATACGGGCCTTGCTCAAGACCAGTTGCGGTGATCCGTAAGAGTCCGCCATCCGAGCCCAGACGGATAGTAATTTCCTCGAATCGTGGCGAAAGAACGAGATAGACAGGCTGCGTGACAACCGGATACAGGCCGAGCATGTTCCACACGAGCCAGCTGCTCATACTTCCCGCATCATCATTGCCGGGGATGCCGCTCGCACCGACGTGGTAATAGTCGTCGACAATATGCTTGCTTCTCATCACGCTCTTCCATTGCCGGCGTCCGACGTAGTTGTACAAGAACGGTGTCATGAAGCTGGGTTCGTTTCCGGGGTTGTAAATCATATCTCCGATTCCGTTGTTTCCTTGATCCTGCTCGGCCAAGCCGGGTATGAAGCTCGTGTCGAGTCGATGCTCAAAGCTAACGGGACCTCCCATCAAGGTTATCAGGGTGGACATATCGTGCGGTGCAGTGAAGCTGTACTCCCATGGCGTGCCTTCATAAGAGATGGCCTGCCAGTTACATTCTCCGCATTCGAGTGGGCTATAGCCTGGTAGAACTGTACCGTTGGGTTCGAGGGGAGCGAGAAAGCCAGTGAAGTTGAGTGCCTTAGCATCCTTGAGCCAGATCTTTTGCCAGCCACTGATACCGTAAGTAATGGTCCTCATAACATAGGTAAGGAGAAGAAAACTCACGTTGAGCGGTTCAGATAGGTTGCCGCCTCCTCAGGTGCCTCACCCTTGGCAATTTGCGACACAGCAAAGTCGTTGAGAGAGTACTCGACGGTCTTGCTTACGCTTCTGCCATAGTTAACAGATACGTACCCATACTTCTTCCAGTCATCCAAGGCACCTCTTCCCTCCTTGGTGCTTCCTGTTGGGTCGTTGAAATCAAAGTTATTGTATGGCTGTATCTCGGCGTTAGTTCGTACGGCGGCATACCCATCCGCCCAGTTGATGAGCCCGTTAGTGTCAAGCTTTTTGACATAGGCATCTGCGAGAACATTGTCGGAGTTGGAGCCGCCTTGAACACGTCCATTGTGGTTGTGACTGCGACCCTCCGGCAGGAATCGCTCGTGCCGCCAGATGTCAATCATGGCTCGGACTGATTTTGTAAGCATCTGTTATCGGCATTGGGACTCCAAATACTTACTCATATCAACCTGACGGCTGGGTAAGATCAACGAGATTAGTGCGTGAGTGCAGCGGAAGGTATCCCAAAGCGTGTAAAAGTCGTCGTAATACGGCTCTTCAGTCGCCCAGTGAGGGTTTTCGCCAGTTCGGTCGGAAGGCATCAGGTGCGCATGGTAAAGTCCAGTGTACAGCATTTCCAACTGCGTCTGGTTCTCAGTCTTGACATCAACCTTGGAGAGTACTTCTTCGTTCCATTGAGACTTTGCGTCGCTGACCGTCTGGTTAAGGTCATTGTGGGGAATCTCATCTTTGATGAATTGACAAGCTTTCTCGGACGAAATCCACGAAACTCCAACTTTGGATGTCAGGGTAGCGACACTAGATGGAAACGTAAAGATGCCTCCAACTCGATCGGCATACTGGTATCCATCCACGCCACCTTTAATCGATGTGTCGTTATTATAGAATGGTTTGACATCTGTAGTATTCGGCCAATACGGGTCCGTGTAGATGCCAGAAAATAGTCCGACGTCTTCAGGCACGCTATCAAACTGTCCACAGAAGTAGACCTTGAAGTCGCCGCCTTCCCGAGTCAACGTGAGCTTTCATCTTCAAGATATACCGCATACTAACTCACCAAGAGACCAGCCTTCCCTGTACACACCATAACCAGTGTAGGAAGAACCATCATCGCTGCGTTCCAAAAGACCATTGCTGTACCATTGAGACTCCTTGCCACGAGTTGGGAGGTAGTGGCTCAAGTCTACCAAGATGTGACGGCCACCGTCGCGAGGGAACTCGTACTTGATGATGCCAACGTGCATGCTGGCGCTCATCTCAGCTATGACGCCGCTTGCCAGAGACGTCTTGTAGTATCCAACCTCGGCAACATCGTGCTCAGCTCTTGGCTGCATGTAAGTCAAGTTGTCGAGTAGATTGACCCCTTCCAAGGTTGTCAGAGGCATTTGTGGGATCAGCCCGTAAGTCGGAGCGCCTCCCGTGCCGCTGACGTGCAACATGGAAATTGCTGTGACATTTCCTTCGACGGTGTAGCCCGCATTGGCTTGATACCTGGTATCCCATCTCGTAGTGTCGATGCCGATTTTCACAGCTCCGAACGGAAGTGTTACGCCGGGGAACGTGTTCCCGCCTTGATAAGATGACCCAGGCTCTGGGCCCTCGGTGCCAAGAAATGGGTCGACGTATGGCGTGAAGTCGTTTGCTTGCGCAAGTCCGGATAGTCCGACCATGGCGCCACTGAGGCCAACGGCATACTTGTAAAGCACTCCCATGATCGTCACATTCACGTTGTAGGGAGAACATCAAGAACCTACATCCCACCGGCTGATGCGGATAGCCGCTTCTTATTACATTTTGGCGGGTAGTATTGACCCGAAGCGTTGGATTCTGGAGTGGTGATCTACAATCTTGGAAGCTGTTTATACCCACTTTCCCCGCATACAACAAAAAACATGATGGGGAAGTGCCGGCAGACGATGCTTGGATTGGTTAGTACGCCGGCATCGTTAGATTATCGCAGCATGTTTTTTGTGTCCCCTCTCCTTGGCAGGCCCGCTGCAGTCTGAATGATGCAATCATTCCTCGATTGCCTGAGCGAAACGTCAGGATCTTTTTTATAGCATTGGGAAGTAATCATGTTCAAGGAAATAACAGTTGAGTTGATACATATTTTCGACGTATCTTTCTGCGTCGATGATGGGCCCTGCAATGGCCTTATCCAAGCGTCGCATTGCTGCTAGTCATGATGGGCTTTCTGAGTTTACGGTTAAATTCAAAGTAAATCACTTGATTCATCCACAGCCCCGTCGCCGTGGGGCTGCGCCGGTGCCGGACCCCGCTACACCAGTCATTCAAATCGCGACGATGCAGAGAACGAGAGGTTGGCTCATCTTAAGCCATGGGATGAGCCGCTGTCATTCTATGGGAAAACACGATAAAGCACGGCCACGGGAGGAAGACAGGGGGCTTTCAATCATAGAACCTCGTGTCACAGACACTGAGTAGTCATGGAATCTTGAGTCTTCTAAAATCATACTTGATTCGAAATGCGGCAACATATTGGAGTATGTTAAACACGCTCGATGAGCTATGGTACTGCTACTACTCTACAAATGGCAAATCTCGGATCTCATCTGTCCGTGAGGCTAGTTCTGAGGCAAGCACTCCAGGAGCAGAGCCTTGTCCCTCTGCAATGCCTCTTCAATTGAACCCAGAGGCATGCCGAACTTTTCCCCGACATCCTTCGAAGACTGAATAGTCCAGCTGAGATCCTTCACATTGGACATTTGATGGAACTTCTGGCCAAACACGCTGATCCCCAGCTTTTCCAGCTCCTCGGGAGTTCGCTTGGTCACTCCCACCTTTCTGCCGCTAACCCTGACGAGAATGTCACGCACTTCCTCCATGGTCAAAAGTTCGTTGCCCATATTGATCTCTTGGCCACTGAACTTGGTCGGGTCCTGCAGGGCTTCTGCGGCGTACCTACCAACGTCGTTGGCGTCCGTGTAAGGCACACGAGCACCGTTGAGAAGAACGTCGTCGATTTCTCCATGAGTAGGGAGCCGAGGAAAGTTGCCGTAAGCACCCGGCACGAAGAAGTCGAAATGGAGGACAGCCGGACGGAGAATGGTGTACGACGTGAACCCTCCGGCCCGGACGATTTCCTCGACTTCCGCCTTAGAGGAGAAGTATTGGTGTAGCTGAATTTCCTTAATGACATCATCATCCCAGAAGGCCCTGTTCCCTGTGCCGTGGGTCGTAGCTGCGACAACAGTCTCGATGCCGGCTTTCTGGCATGCTTCGACGATGGTCTTGGCCTGCAAGGCCTCCAGACCTGGGTATGGGACTGTGTTGAGGAAAGCTCCCTTGCAGCCTTGGGCCGCTTGAAGAATATCGTCCAAGTTCTTACTTTCTCCTTGGAAGAGGGTGATGCTGGGATGTTGAAGGCTGGGGTGGACTTTCTGGAGGTCGCGAACCACTGCGTGGATCTTGGCACCCGCTTGGAGAAGATGGTAGATGACCGAGCGGCTCTGCTGGCCAGTTGCTTGGGTGATGAGATAGGTAGCCATGTTGACTGTATCTTATAGATGGTTGATGTGATTTGAAGGTATTGGAAGAGCAGAAAAGTGATTATATGGATGACTCTGAGATGAATTTCTGTTCAACATTGCGAGGTCGAAAGCGATCATTTATATCCAGGTAAAAGCCTTCTTGCACCGACTCTGTAGCAACGAAACGCCGGTTCTCTTGATTCATAATGCTCAGCGACTTGCGCATACTGAGGATTTGCTGGCGCCCAATCGTGGCATTTGTCGCAGGAGGTGACGGGCGAAAGTGAAGTCCGAAGTCAGCAAACCGCCCAAAACGGATAAGCGGCGAGATGCACAAAGCCTTTAGCCTCGATAAAAGTTGCTTCCTGTGGGGTAAGTGATAGATGGGAAGGATTCGGGGATCCTTTCGTAATGCATCTTGAAGAGGCTTAGAGGATAGCTTACAAATGGCTAGTCTTACTTACCTGCATGCGACTACATAAATGTCAGCGACCCAGCGACAGCAACTTTCTCCGAGCCTAGGCTTCTGGGATTGTAGTGACACATTAAGAACTGCGGCATCTATCTATTCCACCCGACAACGGTGGCCACTGAAGTCTCACCACAAGATGCCGGCCCACCCGTTGCCGCAATGAAGACACGAAAGTGCTGCTGGACGTGCACAGGTCAGTAACGCATGCAGGTATCTGGATTGGACTTTGCTTATGACGCGTCTTCAGCTCGTAAGATTCAATGCGACGGGGCTTTGCCAACCTGCATGAAGTGTCACAGATCCCAGCGAAAATGTGAAGGATACGAGCTTCGATTGTCGTGGCCGAGGGAAGGCGACAACAAACGAGCGCTCAAGAGTATTGAAGGACCAGCAGTGACAGCTATTAAACGGTCGCACCAAACTGTCGTCAATCCCTTTTTCGTGAATGCAACTTCGCATCACATGGAATTGTATGGCTACTCGTCCCTGCAGAGCCAGGGCTGCCATACAACGCCATCGTTTCCAAGGCTCCTGAGGCAGCCCCAAGTTGGAGTCGGTTCATGTTCTATGGACATAGACCTGTTCCATCACTGTAAGCTTAGACACACATAATATCAAGCCCTGGTCTTCATGGTTGATAATTGTTCTAGTTCAAAACTTTGCCTACAGGTCACTGGTTACATTTGGTCAAAATACCTGGAAAATTCGAAACGCGCTCATGAGCATGGCCCTAGCCAAAGATTCGAATTCCGGACTTGCTCTTCTCAATGCATTACTTTCTTATGCTTCACTACATCGCCATGGGCTCAATGAACAAGCCTTGAAGCTAAAGATACAGGCAATTCACTATTTATCAGCCTCAGTGACCAGCGAGGCCTTGATCTTGGGGAGAGCGGCGCAGCACGTGGCCGCGTCTATGGTTCTTGGAGCCTTTGAGGTGAGTGACAGCTTCATCGCCATTTTTTTGCCTCTTTCTCTAATTCATTTCTATTGTATAGATAATGCAACCTTCGGAAGGCTCGGGCGAGTGGCTTTTGCACACATGGGGGGCTGTTGACATGATTCACGCCACTCGACTAAAGGACGAACCGCATGACAGCGACGTTGGTCAATTGTTGAGCTGGGCTTACTATCATGAGACCCAATCTCGGTTCGCTTTGCACCATTGGCGCCATAAGTCTTTCGTTCCTACAACATCAGTCAAGCAGAACCCAATACTTCAAAATCCCCAGTATCCACCCTTGACGAGATATAGACCCGTAAGTTCATTCTCTCATGACCATCTGTTGCTCCCCCCTGATAGCCCTGGCAGAACTTACCGCCCGTGAATCCGACTTATGCGATTCTCAACCTGCTTTCCGAGGTTTGCGACACGCTAGTAGATCCTCGAGATCCTCGAAGTCAGGACGAAAGTTACCAGAATCAGCTCAAGGACCTTGGCGGAAGGGTCCGAGATATCTCTGTCAAACCAGCCATCCCATCGGCTTCAGATCCGGAGGCCGCCTTCGCTATCGAACTGTACCAGATGGCGACTCAGATCTATCTTGTACGAGCCTCGCAAAGCCCATGGGAACCCCCTGCGGACCTTGATGCTCTGGTGGAGGCGGCTTTCGCGGGACCTGTTCAGTCATGCACCTGCGAGCACTTCTTTCCTCTACTGATTCTTGCTTGCGAGGCACAACGTGACGAACAGAGGATCGGCATCATCAATCTGATCGAAAGAACCCAAAGAGATGTTCGAATACGAAGCATACAAGCAGTCAAGAATACCATACAGTCTATTTGGGTGCAGCAAGATCTGCACAAGGATGACGATGTGTTGGTGGACTATCTTGGCACCTTGAGTTCGGCGATCAGCTCCAGCAATACAGTACCATCATTCGCATAGATTGCATAACGCAATTGAGCAATGATAATGGCAGCGAACTCACCAGAGTCAACACAGCGAATGCAATAGAATCGTCGTCCCGGAGTCTTCAATCACAGCCGCACAACAATTATTGTTCATGAGACCCTCTCAGGAGCAGTAACAAACGAGGCGATTGTCTAGCATTATTGTCACAAACCTGCTTTTAAGTCTATACCACGCTGAGTCTGAAAAGGGATAGACGTTGACAAGGAGCAGAAGAGGCAACGTACGCCCATGACTGAGAGTGGGAGGGAAGTCTTACTTTTAAGCATAACCTAATTCCTCGCTATGAGTAAGGATAAGGTTTCTGCCCGTCAGGTTTATCATCATTCTGGGTCCGAGATTTTTAAGCAGTCAAATTGCTTTGGTTCTGTTTGACGGAGTTGGGGTGCTTTTCTCGGTCCGTCTGCGCTAAAACAAACCATTTTGCTTCCGATTCGCTGTAAGCCTTCTAGAAGTCCGGAACCAAAATACATCCGGTCTGCTTCACGGCTCGAATAACGCCACGATCGTTTGCGGAACATCAATAATCTCGATACCAAGGTTATGACTCGGAACCTTTATTTCCAACTACATATGAGAGCTGTTGTTCGCACTTTCTTCTGGGCTACTTGGCTATACACCATAGAATAACAAGACGATATCTCTCAACCACAACCAATTCCACTCGATTAAGACTGCTGGGTATCACCTCTATTTCTGTCTCAACTATTCAACGCAAAAATGCCCTCTCTGACCCGTATTGCTCACATTGGCGTAAGTCCTGTAAGATCAAAATGTTTAATCAGCTGCTCACAGATACTAGGCTGCTGGCTCCCTAGGCACGGCTGTTCTCAAAGAGCTCGTCGACGCCGGTCTCGAGGTTACTGTGCTCTCCCGCACCACAGGAAAGCTCCCCACGGAACTCTCATCGAAAGTCAAAGAAGTCGCCGTCGACTTCTCATCAAAGACCGCCATTGCGGACGCGCTCAAGGGCCAAGAAGCCGTCGTCAGCACCATTGGATCAGCTGGACTCTCTCTGCAGGAGACGGTGATCGAGGCCGCCATCGACGCGGGCGTCACCCGTTTCATTCCTTCAGAGTTCGGCAGTGACCTGCAGAACCCTCTTGCTCGTGCACTGCCGGTATTCGCCGACAAGGTCAAGATTGAGGACCTCCTGGAGAAGCGGGCCGCAGAGACGGGCCTGTCGTACACATTCATCTACAACAACCTCTTCCTCGACTGGGGTCTGAACGTTGGCTTCATTGCCGACGTGGCTGACAAGAAGGCCACCATTTACAACGGAGGCTCATTTCCCATCAGTGTGACGAGGCTTTCGACCGTCGGAAAGGCTGTTGTTGGCGTACTGAGAAACCCTGACGCGACAAAGAACCAGACGGTTCGCATCCACGACGGAAAGCTGACGAAGCGCGAGATTGTGGAGGCCGCGCAGGGAGTGACGGGCGCCGATGGCTGGGCAATTTCGGAGGAGAACACGGCGGACGTGCAGGCGAAGTCAGACAAGGCTCTCTCTGAGGGCGTCTTTGACGAGTGGGTTTGGCTGGGATACATTATTCGCGCCTCGCAGACTGAGGAGGCGAAGCCCGGCTATGAAAGCGTGCAGAACGACCTATTGGGCTTGAAGGAGCACTCTCCCGAGGAGATGAAGGCTTTGGTCCAGGATATTGCTAAGTCTATTGTATCTGCTTGATCGTCTTGGCAGCTAGGATTTGTTTTGTGATTTCCTTTCTGCCTAGTCGAGGATATCTAAGATAGCTTGAGAAGCTAGAAGCACTCAACTTTGTGATGATAATGATCCACCTGTCCTTTTTAGAAAGAACGATAGAGGTATGTCACTGAGGGAGGCGCATATAGTGACTTTCGGGAGTTGATTAAATCAGATAGAAGGATACATTCAGCACATAGATATAAATTCATCCAATGTCTTCATCCTTGAGTATTCAGTCGTAGTCTGGATCGGTATGACTGAGCCCGCTTGTGAATGACTGACCTCTAAAACTGATGACGATGATGCCTCTCTAGAAGAATCATTGATGATCGAGCAAATGCTTCCATTTATTCAGTAATCCCCGAGACAGAGGGGTGTGATATCCTCGATGCAGAATCTTCCAGCACTGTATTCCTTGCCCAAAACTCATGGAAGAATGCGTGAAGAGAAAGTGCCAACGAATTGTCCTCGACTAGTATTAGGGATGTCTTCGTTGCTGGTTAACTTCATGTTCTTATCCAAAGCCCCAAGACAGAAAGCAATATTGAAGGATAGGCATACCATAAATCAGGTTGTTTACAGAAGCAGACCTGTTCTAGGCTCAGATTCCCTACCCTGTCTGCAACATGTTGCGAGCCTTGATCATTCCTGACTGGGATACCAGTCAACGTCGCCACACGCGCATCGATGGCGCTGATGTAGGTCGCCACATCGCTATCAGGCGGCATGTGGCAACTCTTCACTGCAACTTTAGCCCTCCCAAGGGCTTCTCACTCGATAGTTGAGGCCAAATGATTTCACTGCAACTTCTTGACCCCCAAAGAGGGGATCACAGCGGTTGAGGGGCTTTACATAGAGGGCCTAGCAGCATTGGCAACACTAGTGGTGCCATATGTCGCACTGCTAATGTTGAAGTTCACTGCATCTTTACCCCGTCCCAGGTCGCACTTCAGAAATTACAAAGCTGAGAACGTGGATCTGACACAGCCAGTTGCATAGAGACCAAGCTAATTGTGCCTTGAGCACCTAGCTAACATCGTGACTCGGGACACTCCAACACGTCTTAATGTTCACTTGGGTATGATGTCTAACTCAGAGACAGGCTGATTTATGTAGCAATAATTTCCAAAGAATTCAGAGTCTTCATGGGTTAATTTGGCCGTACCGTCGGACCTTCGAGTCGAATCTCAAGGCCCACTCGTTACAAAGACGCTCTTGCTACGAACGACTCATGATGTTACTAGCTTCAGAAGTTTTCTCAAAGTCAATTTCAAGCTCTGTATGCAATTAAGTAAGTAGCCCAGCCTTTGTATGGTGCTGCGGCTCTTCCCACAGGTCGCAGTCCCTTACGCGGCATGGAGAGTGCACTTTCGACTCATGAACCCTTTTTTGCGATGCCAATTCGCACTCTAAGCCCTTACGGATGAATGGCAACTCAATTCCTTCCGATGAAATTGCTTTGACTTGTGGCCAAGGCGGCAACAGCCGATTATGGGTGAATCATGGTATGTTCGGCCCATCGGAGACTTTCCACATGGTCCCTAATCCCTGGAACTGCAGTACTCTATGTAAGACTCGTACCAATAGAGAATGGACGAACACGAAAATTCAGTCCCTCAGGTTTTGCACCAATTACATCGAATAGCACACGTCAAACCGTATGGGAGACGAATCCTCTGGTGCTTGTACACCAATCGGGGAAAGGCGGCCAAATCTGGCCGGAACGCCCGTGTTGGTGTGATTGGAATGATGAGATCCGTACGCGTACATGAGCATCTACAACGATAGTCAAAAGCTTATTACCATCGTCCTGTCAAACATCGTGGCTCTGCTCTCTGGGGTTCTTCTCATCGGAGTGCTAACACCGGATAGCGTGATGAACGTGCACAATTTAGCTGCTTCCCAGGAACGTGGTAAGCAGATAAAAAATTGTCATGTCTTGTGCATTGCCTTGAACCTTAAATAAGCACGCTCTTCCGACTTTCCGACAATCAAGCTTTCAGAAGACTTTTAGTAGGTCGTCGAGTCAATTTCTTAGCTGGCAAACCCTTGCAATTTGACTCGAGTCTAGATCTATCACCCAAGCTTCCCAAGCGGCCTGGGATGAGATGACAATTCCAGATGATGAACGCCGTCGGGCTTACGAGCGAAAGGGCAACGATGCATCTCGGGATTTGAATGAATTGAGTATATATAAAAGTCTCATTTGACTGGACCTTCTCACGATGGAAGGTGATACTCGCTTCTTAAGTCCATCTTTCATTCTCAAGTCCATCTCTCAAGTCCATCTCTCAAGTCCATCTCTCAAGTCCATTCCATAAGTCATCCCTTCAAGTCTATCTCTGAAGCCAACCTTTTGCAGCTTGAAATTATAACATTCCCTCAACAATGAAGTACACCTACATCCTCCCGCTCATCGCCGCCACCCTAGTCGCCTCTTCAGTCCTACCAAGCAGAGACCTGAGTACGTAAATATAGACTTTTCCTCACCCGTACCCACAAACTCACCAGCTTCTTCAGCCAAAGACAATTAAAAAAGTGCAAAACCTTCCAAATCTTCAGAGACCCGGACGCCATCACCGGCGGCAGCCCCAATTTCGTAGGCACACCGCAATGCTGCTGCCAAAACGAGCAGTGCCACGTCATCGACCGCGTCAACGGGATCAACACCTCGGCGAACTTGAACAATTTCCTCGCGGGGACTTTCACTATAGAGGATGCTCGCGGTCAAGCTAAGGGGACACCTGGATCGAATGATATCCGGGGGGCTACGTATACTGTTGGAGCGCAGGGTGGCTGAAGCAAGTGAGACGGGATGCGATGGCTGTGGAGAAGTTCACGGCGTGGGGTTTATTTAGAACACCGATGACGAGATAAGAGTTGAAGAGAGCTTTTCGAGCGAATGAGTGTGAGGATAGATCCGTAGGGTCACATGCCAAGGTCACTAAACCAGATCTGGTGTCAGGAAACCATTCACTGCATTTTTGGCCGCTCCAGAAGGTCTCGCTACCATCCAACAGATCAGCCTGATAGGAGTCTTCAAGCCACAAAGGGCCCTCTGGGGTTGCAACCTGATGACCTCTTCAGAGCATCTTAATTCTGCCTTAACAAGACCTCGCCTTCTCATAAGAGGACGTGTGCATATGTAGGCATCACCTTACTAAGTCCACCATACCTTATGAAGAAACCTTCTCGAGGGAGGAGAAATGCTCTCGAAAAGATAACAAGCTTCGCATGGGTGGTTGAGCGTTGTATTCGAGTCAACTTGGCTTTCGACGCCTAAGGTTATGTGACTTCGACACCCTCTCGGTCTTCGAGAGATCTACTAAATGTCATCGTACTCCAAGTCTACCTGGGAGGCAGCCCTGATTCAACTGTGGCATGAAATATGCAACTAGGAAAGCAGGCTGGCCTTGGGCAGCTGATAATGCTGACCGCATGGGAAGTTGTCAACGTTGGCGTACGGACGGTGTCCCAATTAACGAATGTCCATAATGATGGAATTCTCTACTTTTACCTCCAGAAAACGGACTCCCAGCTGCTCAGTCAGTTGTACACGCTACCTGAGTACCTGGCCTTCACGGCTGGCAAGTGATAAGCCCATCATCAAACCCGACGACGCATTTTTGCATTTCTCCAAAGCGCAAAGTCTCTACACTGCATTTCTAACTCACGCAGAGGGAGGACGGCGGTGCAGATTTTATTCTCCTTCCTCCAACTTTCACGGAGGTTGTAGATGAGGGCGGCCGCTTCATGTAGCATGTGCGAGCTGATGACAAAACAATCTTGCTCCGAAGCTTGCATCATCAGTCGCCTTCACTGCATTCTTGACACCTCCACAGGCTATCCTACACGCATGCATCATCCGTCTCTTGGCACAGGTCGCATGTAGGGAAGAATGGACTCGTTCGTCCAAAAAGTCTTGATTCTAGGTATCTATTAAGAGTAACAATAAGGAGAATGGGGAGAGTACTGTCTCTACAGTATCCCAAATGCAGGATATCAACAAATTACACATGACATAGATATTTCACCAGTCCTCCAGAAAGTGTGGACAAATGCCATACAGATGCATCAAGCTGTAATGACAGAGACTCTCAAAACACGTCCTCCAGGTTTGCACCCGAGCTCTCCTCTCTAAACAGCTCGCTAGCTCGTACACACATGGTCCCTCCCATATTTTGTGTCATTTGCTCTCATTTTCTTCTCATCCTTTTCGTATAAAGAAAAACTTTTGTTGTCAAGACGCCCTTACTCAGTCTTCTTCTTGCCAAATAGGCCACCCTTCTTCGGTACTCTCGCCAACCAATACAAGCCCAGGGCGGCAAAGATGTTGAAGATGATGTAGACCCAGGCAATGCCAAAGTTCCTCCAGCGGTCGTTGTAGTCGCTCTTGACGCTCGCCAGGAAGACGTTAGTGTCCTGAATGGTGCAGAACTGGCAGTCGGTGGTGGCGTTGGGCTCGCGAAGGTATCCGCCAGCAGCCGCGATGTAGTTCTCGAGGAAGGCTCCACAGCTTTGTCCTGAGGGAGGATCAAAGTGGAGGAACTCGTTGGCAGCACAGACAACCTCTGTGTTGGCTACAGCCGTGGATAACATGCCTGAAACAATGTACGTGAATGGCGATACACGATACATGAAGATCCAGAAGCGAGGGATGGAGTCGGGATTGGCGAGCACACCGCAGAAGATGAGACAAAGCATGAAGAGCAAGTTGGCAATGTTGCCACCAGCCTCAGCGGTCTCGAATCCAGCGATAATGAAGTCGGTAAAGGTCGATGTGAACAGCAGGAAGACGAGCAGGTACAAGAACATCAGCGCACCACGCTCAGTAACCTGATCGGCGGGAATGGCGTTCTGGTACAGGCCGACAGGGTAGTACCAACAGAAGTACATGATGGCAGCCATGAGGGTGTTCCAGGGAAGTTCGACGATAATCTGGCTGAGCATGAAGACCTTCCACCCATAGACCTTGGATGGTCGCTCTCGCACTTCGTACAAGGACCGTTGAATGACAAAGTGAGGCATGGTCTGCTGGACGAGTTGGCCGAAGACGGTGAGCAAGTTGAAGATGGCAAACATCTGGTTCTGGAGACCCTGCTGGGTGTTGGGAGCCTTGAAGAAAACGAAACCGATGAATGCAGCGACCAGGGTGCAAAGCGCAGCCTTGGCGTAGATGTACGAGGGGGTTCTCCAGTACTGTTGGAAGACACGGTGGGTAACCTCCTTGAGCTGGGCGAAGAAAGGGGCAGCAAATTCGCGATAGCTGCCCTTGTCGTGGGTAGCAGGGGTCTGAACACCGCGCTCGTCCTTGAGTCTCTGCAGTTCGGCCTGGACACCTTGGAATTCCTCAGACTTGCGCCAGGCCTGGTGCCAGTCGACGTCGGTGTGGGATCCGGGAGCAGCACCGATCACCTCCAACATCCACTCGGCCGGGTTGGCGTCATGAGGGCAAGTCATACCGCTCATACGCTCAAAGTAGGAAGTCATGACCTTGGAGTTCTCGCCAATGTCGCCGAAGTAGACAGTGCGGCCACCCTTGGCGAGGAAAAGAAGACGATCGAAACGTTGGAAAAGCATAGCAGAAGGCTGATGAATAGTGCAGAGAATAGCCTGGCCACTCTTGGTCAACTTCTCCAAAAGGTCGAGAATAGCCCAGGAAGTCTGGGAGTCAAGACCGGAAGTAGGCTCATCAACGAAGAGCAACAACGGAGGCTTCGCAACCAGCTCGACACCGATAGTCAGACGCTTACGTTGCTCAACGTTGAGACCTTCTCCAGGAACACCGACCACGGCGTCGGCGTACTCTTCCATATCCAAAAGCTTAATCACCTCCTCAACGTAGTCGAGCTTCTCTTGTCTCGGGACGTGTTCGGGCTGACGAAGGAGGGCAGAGAAGTTGAGAGCCTCGCGGACAGTAGTGGTCTGCAGGTGCAAATCTTGCTGTTGGACGTAACCGGTCTTGCGCTGGAAAGAAGCATCGCGATGGTAACCATCAACCAGCATTTCACCAGTGATGACGCCCATAGAGGTACGGTCAGCCAAGCAGTCCAAAAGCGTGGTCTTACCAGCACCTGACACACCCATGAGGGCAGTCAAAGTACCAGGCTTCACCCAGCCATCGACGTGATCCAGAATGCGTCTCGTCTCGTTCTTGATTTGGACCTCGTAGCAGACGTCGTTCCAGTGGAAGGTGGACTTTTGTTCCTCAATGAGACCGTCGTTCTTTTCGTTGATGCGGGCACGGTCAGCGGTGGTAACGGGTCCGACGCGGATGTCCTCGGGGTCATCAGTGTGCTTCTCGTTGAGGGCAGCGGGCTTGTGTCCACGACGGAAGACAAGGACTTCTCCCTTGGACTTCTTCTCCGAGACCAACTCTGCCGTAACCATGTAGGTCATCAGGAAGAAAAGCATGAAGGCGATGAGGATGCCAAAGTTACGCCAGCGGTTGGCATACGAGTAGCGGAATCCAGAACCAACGTAGTCGTCGCCGCTCACGTAGTCGAGACCAGCAACGGAACCGACGGCACTGCACACACGCTGGGCGGATGGGAGATTAGCGTAGCCGGGAACAGCAGAGCTGGGAACGAATTGGCTTTCAGAGCAGGCGAAGTTGCGACCATGGAATTCGTTGACGATGAGGGACTCGAAAGAGTATGCCAGAGGATCGAGGTAGTTGAGCCATCGGCACCAATCCAACATGTAGTCGATGGGAATGACGAAGCCAGTGAAGATAACGAGATCGAGGATAAGAATGGCGGCAGGTACCATGGCTTGCGACAAGGTTCGAGATGACGAAGCAATGGTTCGGAAAATCATTGACATGGTCAAGACCGTGAAGAAGGACATCAGAAGGAAGAAGAAGAATGCTCCGGGTTCGCGTCGCAAATTCGTCATGAAGTATAGGACCAGGTTGAAGACGATTGTGTTCATAACCTTGTACGGCATGTCGCACAGCATGGACGCAACGGCTTCGGCAGACGGGTGATAAAGGGCGTAACGGGAGTGCTTCTCGACAATCGGCCGTTGAGCGTAGAGGGTCAGAATCTAGTTTCAGGTTAGCTATTGAACAACTCCTCAACGCCATACAGTTCTTAAAACTAACCTCGAGGGCACTGGAGAAGGCGTTCATGAGCAGGGCGAAGAAGAGGAGGGCACCACGCTGGAAGAAACTCTGGGTGTCCTGCTGCAAGTTGTAGAAGACACTTCCAATAATGAGACCCATGACGACGTTTCCGATGAGAGAACCGACAGTGATGCTGGGATCACCAATCAGACGTCTCCATCCACGCCAGAGGCAAAGCTTGATCTGCTGGGCATAAGACAAAGTGAAGGGAGACTTGGCACGCTGACCCTTGGCCTGCTGGGCCTTCTTCGAGGCACGGAAAGCCTCGGCATCAGGGCCGTTGAGAGGGTGAGTCTGCTTGTACTCTTCAATCTCAGCTTGCAGGGCGGTGTAGTTGGCGCTGTTCTTCCAGGCGGCAGCAAACTCGTCAGGGGTACGGGGCGCCTTGTTCTCCCAGCCGGGGCGAACGTGACGCTCCTGAGGACTCGTCATGGAAGTCAGGAAATCGGGGGTGGTGGCACGGGCAGGGCAATCGTATCCAAGGTCGATGAAGTATTGCCGGGCATCGGTGGCCTTGCCGAAGAAGATCTGGCGACCCTCATACAGGACCGCAACCTTGTCGAAGAGGTCGTAGGCACTCTGGGGAGCCTGGTAGATGGACACGCAAGCTGTGCTGTCGAAAAGTTCGGTTTGCAGACGGAGGGTCTTGCAGAATTCGATGGCGTTGGCAGAATCCAGACCACGGGTACTGTTGTCCCAGCATTGCAGAGGAGCTCCAGAGAGGGCTGCCTCGGCGATGGTGACACGTTTGCGTTCACCACCCGAAACACCGCGGATATACTCGTTACCAACGCGAGTGTTCACGGTATGCGAGATACCGAACATGGCCATAACGACGTCTCTCAGGTGCTGGGCGAAGTCGTTGCTGCTAATACCCTCGGGAAGCTGGCGGGGTTGGCGAGCGCGGGCGGCGAATGTCAAAGTGTCACCAACAGACAGTTGAGGAAAGTGAACGTCCACCTCGGCCGTGTAGATGGCCTCACCACGGTGCTGGGTGTGCATCTCCTTGGAAGTCATTCCTGGACCCTGTTAGCACCTTACGATTTACACGATGTTACACCAGGTGGCGGTTGCAGTGTCTTGCGGCGAGGGAGTAAACTCGACGCCAGTCACGGTGAACCCCTGCAAGCCTGATCTCGGACTTTGACGCCACTTACCTTGGTAGTTGAAGTAGGAACTATCGTCAGTGTAGAGACCGTTAGTCTCACCCGCGATAGTCTTCAAGAAAGTCGAGCAACCAGAACCAGGAGGACCCAGGACAACCAACATCTCGCCCTTGCGAACAAGACCGTCAAAGTTGCGAAGAATGTCGATTCTGGTCTTTCCACCTCCACCGGTAAGCTTACGCGCGAGACCAGCCACACTAAGCCAGATGTTTCCGACATCCTTTTGGTAGTCGGTGGCCTGGCCGAAGCCAAAGACGTTGAGATTCTGGAAAGCGACACCAGAGGTACGGAAGGAAGCGCCGTTCTGCTGGACGAGGTCGACCATGGCGCGGGCCCAAGCACGGCCATTGAAGTCGGGCGAGTTCGGGTTCAGAGGCGACGTCTCATCGGCGAAGAAGGGGTTCCCTCTCACGGTTCCGGTAGCCGAGGCGTGGGAGTACTTGCGGGCAAGCGACTGCACCAAGGAGTGGCGGCGCTCCATCTCGGAATCCTCATCTTCACCCTCGGCGGAGATTTTGTCGCTATCGAAAGGGGCCGAGGACTTCTTGGGGGCTTTGTCGCTTCCCGCTACCTCGGTGATTGATGTGGCGGCGGTATCGACGGTGTTCTGGTTGGCAGCAGCGATATCCTCCTCCTCGTGATGGTTGCTGCGGGCCGAGCTGATAGGAACGCCAGACGTCTGCGCCGTGCTGTCGTAGTTGGGAATGGAAGCCATCCCGGCGAAAGCCATGTTGGCAGATATTCGTAGGGGACGGACTCAACCGCGATCCCAAATTATCGAGAAGTTGCGCTTGTTAGTCGGTAATGCCGTTGGTTTTGCTGGGTGTACAAGCCACCACCCGCTCGACACAGATGTGAGGATCCTGCGTCTTGCTCTCTTCGCAGCGTCGATTCCACGACGGCGCGGTCACTTAATTCTCTTCGGTATTAGGTACTAAGGGTCCAACCAGACATATAGACTGGCAGAGGAGGTATTGATTAAAGAACCGACGCGAAAAAAAGGAAGTGAGGAGGAAAGGAGAGAAGACGTCGAAGGTGACGGAAGAGGAAGGGGTAAAAGAAGCACCTCAGATGAAGGTGGTGGTGGGAGGGCTACGAGAATTAAAGAAGAAGATCCCAGCAGTTCGGGGTGACCAGGATGAAAGACAAGTGAGGTACCTGACGGCGGACGAAGTACACACAGCGTCAAGGAGCACGCCCCGGTGGGAAAGATGGGACGGAATGGAGCTGGGCCGGGAGGGTAAGCATGGGGCAGGCAAATGAGTAGGTGCTTTCCAGTTTAGCCAGAAGAAGGATATTGAAAAATAACAAAACAAAGCAACTGGAATAAAATAAAACAAAAAATGCCCACCCACCACCACCTCAGGTAAGGTACCTAGGTAGGGACTTCCGCAAGGCAAAGGCCAGCCAACTACAGCAGAGTGAATGCCCTCCGCAGAATGCACCGAAAAGTCTCCAGGTCCAATGGGGCCAAGGTCAGAAAATCGAAACGTCCTGAGAAGGATGTCCGCTGGCTCGCCGTACGTTGGCCAGTACGTACCTGCCCGGCAGGGATACGATTGCGGGACCTTCTTCCATTGCTTGGCTTGGCCCAGATGCCAGATGGATGGAAGGGAAAATGCGACGGTTGATGTACCTTCCCACGCGGCAACACAACAAAAGATACGAAGCTTGCAGCTCAAAGATACGAGGTACGTACCGCAGTACCGCCGTACCTCTTTCTCACTCAGGTCTCTACTGCGTAGAGTTCTGTCCCGTAGCGAGGATGACGCGCTCGACGGGGCCCACAAAGTCTCCAGAACCCCTAGCTCCCTTCTCTAGCCCTCTGCTCCTTCTCTCTCTCACTCTGTTGAACTTTGAAATGCGCAGGTACACTTCGCAGTACCTACCAAAGTAAAGTTCCATGGAAGGCGTGGTGCTAATCCGCCAGGAAGAACCCACCACGTCCGCCGAATCGACGGTCGGCACCCTGTGACAGATGTATTTCAAGCAGGTGCGGATGAGGTGTTTTCTTGCGCAAATACTTCCAAGTTTGCGGACTTTGGCTAAACATCACTCCATCACTACTCCGTACTTCAGCCTCGACTTGGCAGATGACTCTGACCGTTTGAGCGCATTTGCCAGCGTCCAAACTCCGCCAACAGGGGCGTAAGCACCGTCGAAATTGGTCCGCTGCCACATGTTATTCGGTCCAACACAGCCGGCGCTGAGAAGCACCAAGCTCGCCATTCTCTGTAGATATTCAGCGCCGGATTTGCATACACCACGAGACTTCTCACCATCACCGAGAGTCAGGGTCCAGCTTGTACGGCGCAGAGTTAATGACGAACTCTAGGTTCATAGACTCATAGCCGCCCCGTTCACCTGATATGCGGGGGGTTTTCTTGAGCGGGACCAACAAACAACCATACCTTAACCATATTCGAGAAGCTTTTACCGCCACATGCAGTCCGCAATATCTAGTATACAACGTTTGCAATGCTGACATTGAAAGTCGGACACAAGACCGCAAAGTCGGCCGTAAGACATTTCAAGTCCGATATTACAATGGTACACAGATTGATTTTTTCGATCCACTCCAGACTAGCACCCATATAGATACAGGTATGACTGGAAACACAGGGTCTTGGTATACCGTCTCACCAGCCAAGACAAAAAAGGGACGGAGAAAGAGACGTATGCATGTCTCTGTCATCCTGAGATCCAACAATCAAGTCGCAGCAGGGGCCCGGAACAATGCCCTGCGAGACTGAATCCTTGGTCCCCATCGGCATCTTGTCAATGCCCGAGGCCATGATATCAATTGCCCGTTCCCGGCGCAAGCAATACCATTTGGGTAGCAGATCGAGAGATGGAGACGCCAGCCGCCAGGGAGTCTAGCCCTCCATTCGGGACTGTAACATGCCGTCTACGGATTACCATTTCCCTGCAGTTGCAGTTGCATACACTACGGACACAACAGCTGCTGCTGCAGGCTGCATCCAATCCTGGGGCACAATTAACATGTCATGTCGGATAACACCAACAACAGCAACCCAATGCCAGCAGCATAGTATGTCAGGCTGTGTGGGCTTGCCAATCTCACCTCATCACGGATATCCATGGCGTAAATAGGGCAACGAACAACGAAGCACAGGTGTCTCGCACTCTTGAAACTCCAACTGTCCGTCCAAGACTGCCCATCCTGTCACCCTGAACTCTATGAGTATCACAAGTATTTTGTAAGCATCAATCTGAGCTTGTTACCCCTCCATTTCCCAGCATCGTGACAGGCACAGCGTAATTGACTTGGGTTGCCCCTCGAAACGCCCTATCAGCCCGATATTCACCCAATGAGGCTGCTGAAACTGTACCGACAACAAGGTGAGCGAAGGTTCCATTGATTGAGGGTGTGAGTATCCACGACAGGTTGGATGGATGGCAGGAGAGACTGGCACAGCCCTGCTATCGGGTGTGATCAAGACTCCTTTTTCCACCTGGTTGAGGTACGTATATGGAATATTACCAAAGCAAACAACTTTGCAGTTCATTGACAGTCACAGTCAGCAATGCAGTAATGAGTGAGTCTTAAGTCTTGGCCCTGTTCGATTTACGGATGTTCATACGAGCGGAGCACCAGCAAAACGATGTCCACAGGGACCACTAAGAATAAAGGAGGGAGCATCCCCCATTGGGCTCCTGCGGGCATTCGTACCTGTCCCTTCTCATTTGGTTCATTCGTGAATCGTGGTTGCCAATTGGACGAGCAGCTGCCTCCTCTCGCAGACGCAAAGTGCCTTCTTTCCAAGATTGCCAGAGTTCACAAGTTCCCGCTCCCTCGGGCGGCCCCACTCATAGAGTACGTACCCCCGCGATGGCCCATTGAAGAAGCAGCAAGACCCGCTCAGCGTCCAATTGGAAATTTGACATGGAGCTAGAAGGGCGCCACTCATCGATACGTACCGCTCGCTTGACCACAAAAAAGGGGTGGTCGCCAACGAGCCGCAAGCGAGGCAGCCACAGAAGCGTGGTGCTTGCCTGTCTCGGGTTCTTCGAGCACCCCGACAACCCGCAGGCGGCAGGTCCGCAGGTGAGCCTAGCGATGTGAGGTGGCTCCTGCTTTCTCCCGACTGAACCCACACGGTACGCCTGCGCCTGCCGGGACTCGCCATCCGTCACCGGCCACCGAAAACGCTAGACGTCCACGACACCACAAGTCCGCACCTACAGACACTCTTGACGTGAGAAATTCGTCTCACCAATTAATTGATTGTGGCCGATCCAATCTTACACGCACCAGGTGAATACTATGCTACCAATTACCATGGAGCTTGAAGTTCGCAGTAAGCCTTTTGTGCCTCAAACCTATCCATCGACATGTTCCGGTATGATGGCACGCTCAGAAACCAATGCTTTGAACACGTCTAATCAACCCTATGGAAACAGCAGAAAGACAAACAAGCAGTTCGAACTCAGGGTAGTAAATATCTTTGCGCACGATTCGGAAAAGATACGCCTTGGCCCGATCCTGGCCACGTCGCAGCCCGTTCCAACTGGGCGATCAGCACAGCCGATATACGACGATTTACGGCAAACGCACCCACCCCTGGGCCCTGGCCCGCCGCCCAACCGCAAACCTGTCCGCCAGATCTGCGTCTCTCAGATTCCCACATGCCTCGCCCACCGGCTCAGGGCCCAAGGGTCAGTGGGCGCTTCAACATCACAGACTTCGAACAAGAAATGCAGTACTTTCTAGCCTTCAGCGCAACACAGACTACTCCACAAAGTAGACCCGTCCAGATTAGATTAATCAGCTTCGTCCGAGATCTGTCTCCCGGTTCCGACTGGAGTCATCCACTCCGCCCGTCATGGTCTACCGGGCGGGCTGCACCAGTACTCCGAGATCCACGGCACATTCTTCCCCTTGTAGTCTTCGCCGGGTCACGCAATCCACATGGCATGACGGCAGCGAGCAACGCCAGACTAGGTATCAACAGCAGCCGCCGCGAGACAACGTCTTAGCGAAGTCTCACCACTGAAAGAGTAAACAATAGACTTCAGACTTTGAGTTGTCCCTCCGAGCTGAGAGCCTGTCGTCCGTCTGCTGACTCGTCCCTACTCCCAACACCGCGACCATCTAATTTTCGTCCTAAGCGACGTTTGACTACCTACCAGGTCAAGGCTAAAGTAGTCACAAGCCAGGACCTTCGTTCACAAGAGCCTCCCGCCCTTACACCAGACGAGCGGAATAGGAAGTGAGGGAGTGGTCTAGTGTAGAAAGCTCTCTAGGAACAGCCCCTACCTTGAGACTTCAGCAGTCACCAACATCCCACCATCGGGGACGAACGCCGAGTCCGATCCCGCCACTTGCTCTGCATCGTCCATGTCGTCACGGGCGTCTCTTCCCGAGGAATTTCATGGCGGCTCCGTGGTCTCGGGGTACCACCACCCGTCGTGACTTTGGCCGATTTAGATACTGTGAAAGATGTCGGCGGCTGAGATCGACATTGGTAGTGTTGGATCACGATGGGCCGAGGTTTCTGATTCCCCGATGCGTGTGGTGACGCTTGAACAAAAAGATACCTACACGCGATCACGGCCCAATACCGATACCCCGGATCCGTCGCTACTGTCCGGCATGTGTTCCATCAGCAACCCCAAGTGCCAAATTTGGCGCATCATCACACTGATGTGACCACCCTAAGTGGCGGCTATTCACAGGCGGCAGGCGGCAGCAACTCCGGGAGGTACAAGGATGAAGGCATCCATCATCCAGTCCCAATTGTCGCCAAATGTCGATGCAAAGACGCAACAGGGTCTCTCAACTTCCAATCCAGTTTGGAATGTCACCTAGCAGCGGCAGCAGTCACTTCGACAAAGCTCTTGACCCATGGGTGTTCTGAACGCCTGGTCTTGCCTCGAGCGTGCATGCCAACTACCTTACAGTACACAATACGGATACCTCTTGTCGAGATTGCGCTGGCTCCTCTGTTAATATGTCTGCCGTATCCACAATACGAACGCGAATTCGAAAACGGGACAGGAAACACTAATCAACGCGACTCGTCAAACTCGCCAAATCACTTTACCCCAACAAGGCAACGCTCATCAGCATTAGAGGCAACCCCCACAGTCAAATCTTACGTACCGCCCTTCACCCTTTGCGCAGCCAAGCAGACGCTGCGCAACGCGAGAAACGCACCGCCCGTAAAAACCACACCCGGCCGAGCCCAGTCCATCTAGCGCTGCTCGGCCCTGCAACCCGCACCACACCCGCTCCCTCTCTCCCTCTCTATCGGAACTGTGTGCGTCAGCCTGAGCCTGAAAACCCCGGCTGTTGGTGATCTAGCATCCAGTCGGACCAATTCATTTTTATAGCTTTCTGTCGGACTCCGGGATCGACCCGATTACACGCCCATCCCTCCACATCGCTCAGAGAGGAAGACATTGCCGACCTCCGTCTTTTCCCGGCATCACTCATAGTCATCCGTCTGACAAAGTCACATCCGCTCCAGTACTGCCCTTGATGAGATCCGACCATTACCCGGACTCTCACAGCCAACAGTACTTCCCTATTAAGACTAGCGCAAGCAACCATCCCAGGCTTCTTCCCTCCAGCGGAAGCTTCTCTCCAATATTGACAACGGATGGTGAATCTGGAGAAGAACCTGCACTGCGCATCGGCAGCAGCACGGTCTTAGTAGCACCATTAAGTTTCTGCTATGTTTGACAATCAGTCAACTGCATCGACAGCCTCGGAATTCACGTGCAGACTTTTTGCCATTGCCCTAGACTCAACCTTCTTCACTTACTTGTACATGCCCTACTCTACCTAAGTCATGTTAATGTTGGCAATCTCGCGGCAGACGGAAAGCGTATCAACGGCCCCATATAAACATCCGGAGCTAAGACTGTGCTTAACCCAGTTCCGGACCTTATCGGACATAGGCCTCACCACGAGTCTACATCTACACCAAAGGCAAGCAAGGACCATCCGAACCGGTCGAGCTCCGCCCCCGCAACTTGGTAACGGCAAGCTATTCAGATGGGTCAAGGCTGATGCTGTCCCAAAGGAGAACGACCGAGTCGTGTGATGACTGATTGTGCATGTGCTCGGAAACCTCGGCCTGTATATCATTCGTGGCGAAACGCAGCAAGTGCCGCTGGAAGCCTGGTTTCAAGGCACAGAATTAAGGTCCTCCGTTTCTCCAGACCACGTCCGGCCCGCCCCGTAAGGTAAATGATGTCTGTATGGAGAGACTGTTTAGGCCACTCACTCAGTTACACGCGTTACCCTTGGCTGGTTCGTTCTACTTATGGCATGAGTCGTATCGCCCTTGACAGCCTCAATGGAGGATAACAAGATTCAACGTCATACCAATCAACGTTTGTCGTCATGCTTGACAACTCGCCCATCAGCTACCTCGAAGGCCAGGCCTGAAACAAAGCAACATCACTGCTATTCCACTTATCAGCGGGCAGTGAATTGCAGCCGATAAGCCGACTCAGCAGTCAGTCTGGCGGGATCCCTAGTTCAGTTGTGACAGATGATGCCCTGTAAAACCCAAGTTCAGACTGTCGAAATTCCGCCTGATTAATAGAACGGTCTTTGTGTCTCGTCTTATTTGGCCGAATGTCGTTCTCTTTCGTGGTGACGGCACTCTTGTATACGTCATGGCGACCTATGTGTCACCACCTACAGATATTTGTGTCATGACAGTAAGCGGGCGATGAGGTAAATTTTGTGATACTTCTTGATGCGAAGCGTGTCTGTCGCATAGCACCTCTAGAATCTTGGAGCTGGATAATGTAGAAGATGAAACCGATGGAGAAGCCTCCTCTTTCTTCAATATGACTATTGATTCACTAAGACTGCGTACCTTGTTCGACACGTATGGGTACGTACTTAAGTAAGGATCTCGTACTGGAATATATGTCGTTGTCGTGCCACTCAAGCGCTCTTAGACGATACAAGGAATTTCGCTCCTTCCATCGAACCAGTGTCTGACTTCAAGGATGACGCTGTTCTGTCCGAAGCCATGAAGCTCAGACCTACCAGACGGACAGCATCGAACGCGAGACCTGTAGAGTGAATGGGATACAGGATACTGCTGACTTTTCCATGTCTGGTGCAACTTCCAGCCATCCCATCCCTATCATCGTTTCATGGCGTTGGTCTGAGATTGGCATATACTATGGCAATTGGATCACACCGCTATTCAAAGGCTAATGATTTGTGATATCAAAGGCCGTGCTCGGAGAGAAGACTCAGTGCCCGGTGCTATCACACGAAGTGGGTGCCTGATGTTGAGAAGCCATCAGCTCGTGCCTCTAAAGTTAGTCAAGTCGATAGAATGATCAAGCTTCAGTAACTAAACGCTGAGAGTCACTGGTTGCATTGCTTCTTGCTTGAGGTGGTTGTTCTGTGTTGAGTAGTCGAATGTTGTCGGGGATATCCTAAGCCATGGTGGTCCTAACGAGGCATGTATGGCTATATGATCAATGCTACCGAATTATATGGTATTTTCTTCGAATGAGGTATTCTATAGTCGTCATTGTTGGTTGTATGCTTCAACACCCATGACGATTTCGGGTAATATCACTTGAGGTATCCCAGGTTGTTACACATGATTACACATCAACTCATCCATGATCACCTTGAACGGTAATGTGCAAAGGATATGAACTAATCTAAGATCCCAAACATGCCATGCACGATGAATGTGATGTTTATCTACATAAGGTTATTACGATTTAAACAGCCTATGCCTGGAAGCAGTAGGCTTGTAGAACCGCAATATTTCGCCGACAAGCAGCTGATTTCACTTGAGTAAAGTATGTGGTCTTGCTTTAAATGAATTCTGCAGTCAAGAATTCCATGGTGTCTTTCTTGAATGGTATATTACCTCAAGCTTACTTGTTTTACTCAAGATGACAGTATGGTTCTCTGCAGGCCTTGCAGCAACATGAACCGGAACATCCATATGACAAGACTATAACGACACCACCAAGTTCCACTATTCGTAACAGCAGACCCTCCTTGGGCTACCTAGTATCCGTACAAGTTCACATTTTCCGTGGTGGAGGCCCGAATCCTCCGGTTCTCCCTGACAAGCAAGACACGAATCCACCAAGCGCAGAGAATCGAGAGCAAAGCGAAGCCAGCAGAGGCACCGAAGCCAATGGCGTAGCGGGGCTCGTCGCTCTTGGGCCAGAGGTAGGCACCGTAGATGTAGCCAATCTGGCCGCCGACGTTGGTCATGGCGAGGACGACTGCCTTCTTCTCCTTGGTCTGTGACAGCGTCGAAGAAGCCCAGCCGATGATGACGGAGTTCACTACGCAGAGAGTCAGAAAAGATGTAGATATTGAAGGGAATGGACAGGAACTAACCGGCATAGGCTCCCATTGGGAAGATGAAGCAGGCAACGTAGCGAGCCGCCGTGTTGAGTGTGGAGGCAGCCACTACGAAACCGAGAATCGCGACGCCGAGGCCGACCGTGATGTGCCATGTTCTCTCGTGAAGTCTGCCGGAGCTCCAGCCGAACAAGATACCCGCTGCACCGGCGAAGATGAACGGCGGGCACGTCATGACGAGGGTGATGGTCGTGTTGAAGCCGAGAGTCTTGACAACAGTCTGGTTCCCGTTAGCCATGTACCTCCAACCACCCAAAATGAGACAAGAGTACGTACGGGGAAGAAGGAGTTGAAACTACAAGCACTCAAATGGAAATTCTGCATCAAACAGAACAACCACGTCCTCTTATCCTTCACAGCCTGCTTCAACCCATCCATAGCAGAAGCCTGCTTATCATCCGAATCGGAGAGCTTATCCTTCTCCATACGGGAGTGAGCGAGCTCGCGCTCGCGGTCGTTGAGCCAGCGCGTCGTCAGGGGCGTGTTGGGGAGGAGCCAGAAGCCGAAGAGGGCGACGAGGCCCGTGGCGGCGCCCTCGACGATGAAGAGCCAGCGCCAGCCTGCGATGCCGTTGAGGCCGTCCATGCCGGCGAAGATGCCGGCTGCGATGAGGGAGGAGAGGCCTGTTGCGAGGATCTGAGCGCAGTAGAGGAGGGCGATGCGGGAGGCGACCTCTGTGGGGGGTGTTAATTGATGATCAGAGAGAGAGATGAGGGGGCTGACCTTTGCGGGTGTAGAAGATTGACAGCATGTATGTTGCGCCTGGGTAGAACTGTTCCCGTGTCAGTCAAACTTTGTCTCGAATAGGATGTGGCATGACTTACGGGGGCTTCAGTGATGCCGAGGAAGAACCTGCAAGCAACAAGGCCGCCGTAGTTCTGGACAAGTGCCGTGCATCCTAGATGTCTGTTAGACTTGACGAACTTGACACTTTGCGATCTAGCATATTCCATACCTGACACCACAGCCCAGATCAACATCCATGCGCTCATATACATGCCGGGTTGAATCCTGGTGATCAACATGTTGGACGGAATCTGCATGAGAACGTAGCCCACAAAGAGACTGTGATGCTGTTAGTCGCAGTCATCCTCTCTTATTCTTTACCGGAGTTTCCTTTCTTACATCGAAACTGTGGTATTGAACTCGGTTCCAGACATGCCCAAATCCTTCTCCAAGTTGTTCAGTCGTGCCTGAGCAATGGCATTGCGATCGACGTAGTCTGATTGGTCAGTCAAGTAATCTGATGATGGAATCTCGAGCGGGGAATCGTACTCAAGAAGTACATAATACAGAGCGTCGGCTGTTTGAAGGAGTCGTTAGATCTTGAACGAGCATCTGCGATATCAAGAGGTACTAGAGACTTACCATGATCCGCCAATCCAGCTTCCGCACCAGCTTGATCTCTTCCGGATCGGTCTTCTTCGCAGACCCGGTCCAGTCGCGGTTCTCCTCATCCTGAGGGATAGGCTTCTCGTCCATGATCACACTATCGACGGTATGGATAGCATGCTCTTCGCGCTCCACCGAAGGTGAACGCTTCTCGCTCGCACCCATTGTAGATTTTGCTGGTATTGATATCGTGCTCGGACCGGATTGTGCGCCTAGCAAAGTCTGCTTTTCGGGGATGGGGGTTGTCAAAAAAAAAAAACAAAAGAGGGATCGGCGGGGCTAAACTCTGCTGTGAAGAGAGTTGCGGTCTAAGAAATAAGCATAAACGAGGATGGTGTCACGGCTTCTTACTTCGTTCTGTCAACCAACCCGAAGTGCTGGACAATCAGCAGGAACGTGGTATTTATGAACTTTTCAAGACTGTTGCATCGTTGATACCCCACGCAAAGGTCATTTCTACGAGTGATCCCCGAATCCGGGGTAACTGGATCAGCGGGGGCAACATTTGAGATCCGGTGCGTTTTAGAGGATAGCTGGGGAAACGACCCATGGGGAAGGGACCAGATTGCGACAGATTCCAACAAGTCGGAACCGCGAGTCTGGGCAGCAAACGCGGGGTTCTCGGTGGTTAGATTTGGGATCCGAAGGGAGAAGAAAGAAAGAGGCGGTCGATGGGAATGGATAAGGGCAAGGGGGGGGTTCGATGAGACAAGCCGTCTGGAGGATAAGCAGGAGATAGCGTGCGAGGACAAGAGTCAGTCAAACCCACGAAGCACCAACACCCGCCGCCACTGGAGAGGTTGGAGTTGGTCAGCCACTGCAACTGGAGCGTGAGCACCAACCCACAGCACCCAAACTATGGAAATGGGGAAATGGAGCCCCGCGTGCCAAGGCCCGAGGGAATGGAACCTGCTGGGGTTAGCTTGGGGTTAGTGACATTAGGGCCAGTTGCGTTGGGACTCTGAGACCGGGGATATGGAGAGGTGTGTGAAAGGGATGAATATGGTTCGTTCGGAAACATGTAGGGTGGATCAGTGGCTCTCGAGGTGCGTGAACGGAGGCAAGGACAATGGATGGTGGACACCTGAGTGGGAACTTGGTTGTCAAGGACGATACATGCCATGGCAGTTGGGGATTACTGAACCCTCTCTGTTTCTGAGCGTCATGATGTTTGATGACAGGCGGAAATCTAGTTTGGCAGTGGTTGACAACCTGCTATCTCGGGCATTGCCGTTGACGAGCTCTTGTAGCCACTGAGCAACCCTGAACTAAATCAGCAATCAAACCTACACGCCCAAATGGGTCTGGCTACGACGGGCTTTACGTCGAGTGTATTTTGTATGCTTCTTCTATTCTCCCCAGAAGGTTCTGGCAACAGAACAAGGACTGCTTTGGCAAGTCACCGCAACTTGCAATTAGTAAAGATATTGGTACGTTTATGGTCGGCGTGGTTGTAATTTGTGCTCCTCAGCAGATATTCGGATTATTTGAAGTTTTACAGCTTGAATGAGTCGTCTACTGAAAGAACTCAACTTATCCTTGTATGGTACCCTGTTTACATCAAAAGTCGCTTCTGCGACTTGCATTTGAATGTGCTGACTCGTAATCCGTTCATAAGTGGCTCTGCCTTCCGTTCCATCATGTTGAGATCCAGCCGTGACGGCTTGAAAATCATACGAGTTCTCTGGCTCGGTATATGGTATGAGTCTTCGGATCGTAGTACGATTCGCTGTCGCACGGGGATGTGGCCATTCTTTCTCGCAAGCAGTCGATAACCTCTTCGACAGACTCAACTGCTGCCTCCCACATCTCTTCTCGGATCTGTAAACCGATGGCTTTATATGTACCAAGAATTTCCCATCGCTTCCAATCTTCTTTCTGCTTGATCAGAGGGCTCAATGCAGCTATGGCACCTCGCTGATCCCTGTCTCTCAAATATTGTAGTAGCCAATCCAGCCGCTCTATATCAACCGTCAAATTTTCATCTCTGATTGATTTGAACAACGAGACAAACGCTTCTTGTCGTTTTGAGGTCAGCGTTAAGGTCCCTGCACGTTGCCAATCCTGCGCATGAATAGAGAAAACCAAGTAATCCCAAGGCGTTTCTCCGTCGCCGGTACGCAAACCCGTGTTTATATCCTGTAAGTTGAGAGTTGAAAGGTATCGAAGCGTCTTAGTGGTTCCATATAAAGCTGCTTCATGAAGCAAGCCCCAACCATCGCGTGTTACGTATGTCGTCTTTGCTCCTGCCTCGATCAGGCATTGTGTACCTCTGCAGTCTCCGCTCTGAATCGAAACCAAGAGCGGGGTCCTCCCAGGACGATTTCGGGATTCGATGTCAGCGCCGGCTTCTAGAAGGACTCTTAAGCTCTCTCGAATAACACGGCCTTTGTTGTAAGACGAAGTAAGATGATGGATGGCATAAAACCCTTGCTGGTCAGTAATGTTTACTGATGCTCCCGCACGGATTAGAGATCGAATGACTGCGGCTAGATTATTGTGCCCCGTCGTGGCAGCAACCATCATCGCAGTATCGCCCCCTCTGTCAGTGGCATTGACCCAGCTACCAGCATCAATCAAGTATTGCACCGTGAGTATATGGCCGCCCTTCGAAGCAAGCATTAGAGCAGTGCAGCCCGTCCAGTTGGCCTCGTTGATATCACAACCTAAACGCACGAGATGTTTGACACTGTTGAGATGACCTTGTGTTGCAGCGATGTGTAACGGCGTGTTGCCTTCGTAGTTCCGCTGATTGAGGGCCCAACTGGAATCTTCGGCAGCTTGAAAAGCAGCGTCGAAATCACCTCTGCAAAGGGCATCATGCAGCGGGGTTTGACTAGCATTCACGGTCCATTTACCAGCAGACAAGATTCGAGTGAGTACTTGCATCTTCTCTTCGGGTAGAGAAGGCGTGTTGACAATCTTATCGTGCGCCTCATAGAACCAAGAGCTGCAACAAAGTTGACGATATGTAAGTAGCTACTCGTAGGAGCGATATCTTTGACAAACTTACTCGTCGTAATTTCCATTCAATATCTGATCTTCCCAAATCTGGAACAAATAGAGAAATATGTCTGTTGTTCCTTGACCTATGACCCACTGTTTGTTTCGTCAATGAATACGCGTGCGAGTAGAAATGACCGATGGGAGGCCTACCTCCAAGGCAGTCACGCCGTTAGGGCTTGCGTCACCTGGAAACACATGTCCATGATGTGACATCCACTGTTGAACTGTTGCTCTCGAGCTCTCAGAATGATCAGAATCAATCAAACGCCAAAAACTCGAACTGAAAGGGAGAACCCTAGCAGGTCTCAATGACACTCGCAGTCCAGTCGTAACGCCCACCAAGGTCTGTATTTGGACTGCTCTGGAACATAGCCACAGCGGGAATTGATACTCGACTGTCATCGATGTTCCTGCTCTGTTTTTGCAGCTACTCTCAGTGCATTTCGTGCTGTTTTGGAAAGTCAATTGACGGTTGAAACTGAGATTGAGACTGCCCACTAGGCTTCGAGCCCATCTCGTGGGAGTATACGAGACTGGCTTCGAAGCATGACACCGGCAGCAACATGGAATTGGGCACCGGTCTTGCAGAAGGCCCGGTGTCTGGTTAAAGATACTCGAAAAAACACCCGTAGCCTGATGAGTTGATATTAATCCAGCGGTTGCTGATGCTTGAGGACTCGACAAGGCTTCTTGAGTTTTTCTCACAGCTACAGCTTGTGGAGTTTTGTCATCTTGGAATGCTGTCGAGTCTTCATCAAGGCGGGTTGACGTCTCATCTATGTATTTCGGGCTCTCCGGAGCGTCACCGGTACCTGGAAAGCTTTCAAGCCGTTGAACATGCGGAACGATCTGCATGCTTAGACTCTCGATCTGCAAAACGAGCTTCCTAGATTACAACTCGAAAGTCAGCTTCTCAACGGCTATAGTTTTCAGTTGGCGGCTTGAGCCTTACGTGATAGATTGAGCATTGATTGATTGGAGCGCAAGTTGGAGGTTTTCTCTGGCATCTCGCGCTTTACTTCGACAGTCAGAGAGCTCAGCTTGTAGCCAGAACCATGCTCTCTTTTTGATCTTGTCTTTGCCGTCGGCACTCAGTGGTCGAGTGCAGCGTTTTCGGATTTCTTCGAGGCTTCTCGTGGATTCTGTAAGCTGAAGCATGGCCTTTTCTAGGTACAGTGTTTCGAATTTTGAATCACTGGCAATGACTCCCGCCTTAGCGAGTTCTGCTTCGATTAATCCTAAAGCTTCGACCTACAGCATCATGTGCAAGGTCAGCGCATGAACCTTCTGCCTTTTGAGGTCTTGAATGTGATTATGTTGATCTGATATTGTTGAAACAGACCTCATTTTGGAGCCACCTCAGCTCGTTCTCTATCCCCGGGATCGCTCGGGCAATGTGAGCGACATGGCGAGCAGTGCTTAAAGCCTGGCCTATGGCTATAAAGCTTGCCACCGCCCCGACGACTTCCATTTCTTATTGTAGTTGGAATATCCAGCGCGAGAGTGCGATATCTCTGGGAGGATCATGCGCGAGGTTGTAGAGAAAAGGGAGGCAAAGGGTCCATCACGGCGCTTGGGCAGACTTACTCATAGCCTGATTATCAAGATGGGAGTATCCGCGCCCCTGCAGTTCCATGCCCAACGATGGGAAATGCGCCAATGACTGTCCTGCTCTAACGTCGTATGTGGCCCGACATGTGGCCTGGATGAGTTGGTTGCCTACATGTCTTGTATGTCGGTGATTGGTTATGGTTGTCCTTGACCTTGTGCCTCTCTTGGAAACCGGCGCTTATTCTACACCAACTTGGCGAGGGTAGAGCAACGTCGATGGAGGGGTAATTGGTTTTTAAACCACATATGCTATGCACGTTCTCTGCGCTAAATCATTACGTCTGCCCATTCAATGGAGTTCTGTCCATTGAGCGACTTTCAAAATCTTGTGGGCAATTGTTGCAAGGTGCGCGGCAACAGGACTGTCCAGACTTTCACACCTAAAAGACCCATCTACTTACCTAGTATTTGTCAATGCTCACCTGGCAAGATATGATACTGAAGACCGGGGGCCTTTGTTGGTAATCCCGCGCCAATTAACGGAAAGTGACTGTGCTTAATGGATGATGAGACACATGGAGCAGATCAGAGCAAGGGTGGTTGCAATTGGTACTGGTGACAGAAACTCCCATGGGACGACCGTTAGGACTTCGCACCGCGAATACCGGAGCAATCAGTCGGAAGCTATGGGTTCGGAATTTCCGAACGATTGAAGTGCGGCACAGTATATACTGGTAGCTTCGATTTTATACTAACACTCTACTCTCTTACAAACAGACCAGCCATACCCATTCCGGTGCCGACGCACATGCTCACAACACCGACCTCGCCTCCAGATCTTCCGAGACCGTGGAGCAGGGTGCTCGTCATGCGGGCACCGGTGGCACCCAGAGGGTGGCCCAGGGCAATAGCACCACCGTCGGGGTTGACCTTGCCATCCTCGTAAGCCTGCTCCAGCTCGAGCGCTCTCAGGCAGTAAATCGCCTGACTGGCGAAGGCCTCATTAATCTCCCAGCGGTTCACGTCCTTGTTCTCCAGGCCGAACTGACCCAGAAGCTTGGGGATCGCCAGGGCGGGGCCGATACCCATCTCATCGGGAGCGCATCCGACGGTGGTGACTCCGACAAACTTGCCGATAATGCTGTCGGTGAGGCCAAGCTCTGTAGCGGTGCTTCGGCGCATCAAGAGCGTCGCGGCCGCGCCATCAGACACTTGCGACGAGTTGCCTGCCGTGCTGGCGCCGTCAGCCTTGAATGCCGGCTTTAGTTTCTGCAAGGCCTCAATCGCCATGTTGGCGCGAATGCCGTCGTCTTTGGTGACTGTGATTGTCTGCTCCTCTCCAACCTTGTTGCCCTGCTTGTCCGTCTCCTGAAATCTTGTTGTGACGGGAACAATCTCCTTGGCGAAGGAGCCATCTTCTCTCGCCCTTGAGGCGTTGTGGTGACTGCGCAACGCGAACGCATCCTGATCCGCACGGGAGACGCCGTAGCGCTCAGCGACGTTCTCAGATGTGATGCCCATGGCCATGATGCAGTCTCTCGCGTCCTTGACCGGCGACTCCTTGAGGGCGGGCCACACGTCTACCGGAATCGCACGGCTGCCGTAGTTGCGGGTCATGCTCTCCATTCCGGCACCAATTCCCACCGATATCGTCTCGGTCCTGATTTGCGATGCGATGAGGGCAATTGATTGCAGAGATGACGAGCAGGCGCGGTTGACAGTGTACAAGGAGGTGTCGTTGGGGTAGCCGACGTGGTTCATGGCCATACGGGCAGCCTTGGAGCCGCCAAGCTCCGAGAGGACGACACCGACTGCGACATCTTCTATCTTCTTAGGGTCGAGGTTCGGGTTGGCCTCGAGGGTGGCCTTGAGGACGGTCGAGAGCAGTTCTTCAGGGTATGCGTCCTTGAGCTGTCCGCGGTTCGACCGGCACACAGGCGTACGCAGCGACGACAGAATGACGACGTCGGAGGGCGCCTTCTTCAATACGGACGAGATTCCTTTGGGGATAGACATGTTTGTGATGTTTCTCGGAGCTACGGCCGTCAATTGACTGTGAATGTTGACAGAAAGCCAGACTAGTTGTACAGAAATGAGGAAGTAAGGTTTAGAAAGTAGCCCTCGGCCAAGGCTGTCTCGAAAAAGAGTCGGGTAAATGTGAGCGATGTCGCTTGGTAACCGGGGGAGCTTGAGCGATGCACTGCTAGTCAGGGAGAATAGCTCTTCCTCTTCTTCCGCTCAACTTCCCCAGCTTGATCCCCAAAGCCGAGGTGGGGGGACCCGCATAACATGGCAATTGGGTTCGGCAACCATACGCAGAGCTCTAAGCTCGGTCCCGGGGCTAAACGTTCAACCGGCATTTGAGTCGGCACCTACACCGAGATATACCGACGGTCACCGAAACCTGGCATGTATACCGAGAACACCCCCCGGCTATCCCATTTGGGTATGAGGCCATCGTCAGCCAAAACTGCAGTGTTACACAGTACTAAATCATCATCTACACTCAACTTGGTGTCACATCAAATGCCGGCTTTGAAAGAATTTGAACAATGAGCTTCTTTCATATTGAACACACTATAAGCTCACGTTACGCGCGCTCATGATTACGGTATGTTGACAATTCAAAATCAGCGTCAACTTCCACTGTGTTGTTTACCAAGGTCCATGGTAAATGCAGCCAAGAAGACACTCTGATGTATGTCTGCATCTATACTATGATATGGTAAGCTCTCAATACTTACCCTAGCCGAGAAAGCACTCCGTCAAAGCTTTGAATAGTGAAGTGGTCATCGGCGCCGAAGCAGAAGCTGAAAAGAATTTTACCCAGATGCATTAGCGCTGGAGCAGGTGAAAGTCCATGTCGGGATTTCAAGCTTAAAAAAAGTTGATCAATCTCCACATGGAAATCAGTCACAGCTGTATATGTGCCTTTCAACACTTCAATGGATTGATGTATTGAGAGTATCGAATGAATTATGTATTCCTCATTTCATGCAGAGAAAGAAAATGGCCTGTCCTCAAAGGGAGACTAGCTCCCTCATGTAGGTCCGTGATTATGTTAAGCCTCCACATACAGTATTCTTCCAAGATAAGTGACCCTGTCCACGCTTCAGTATGAAAAACAATGTGTTTGTTGGAAGACATTCCAATGCAACCTAGTGAGCTGCTAGGCGTCGGCTTTGCCCCCAATATGCACACCGGTAAGCGAATTAGATTGCGGCTTTGTCGAAGAAATCGGTATTGAATAAACTAGTCACGGCCTTTCATGTCTCCCATGGGACGAAAATGTTTAAATCGGCCATGGTGACGATCATATGCTGTAGAGTAGTTTGAAAAAAGCTGTAGCAAATCGTCGATACGTTCACTGAGCAAATCAAAACATCAAATTCTATACGCAACTATAGACTCGTTCTCCCAGAACCACCTAGAAAAGAAGATTAGAAGAAAACAGTTTCAATCCATCCGCACACTTGGTAGCATTTACCATGCCAGATCCGCAGCCTCTCGGTGCTGAAGACCTGAAGAAACTACTGAAACTTGTCGAAAGCTACAACAACTTCCGAAACACAGGCGGTTACTGGGAATTTGGTTACGATGTTGGAACGGGCTGGAAGAAGATGGGTGTTGTTACCGCTCACCACGCCCAACTTCTACAAAAGTTGAAAACGAAGTTGGAGGGACACCTTTCCTTCGACACGATCGACGTTGGACAGAAATCATGTCGTCGTATTCGACTACACGCGGACCATTTGAAGGATTCGAACGCTTTCGTTAAGGGAATTAGAAATATACGAGATATCCTTTGCCCAAAAGAGAGTCGACATACGGACAAAAATTTCGGAGCAGTCTGGGATGACGAAAATGAGATGTGGCCGCTGTACGGTATTGATCCCAACTCACCATACGGATTCGTCTGTGGTTTGTCTCCCGTCTTCGGCATTGTGACTACTGGTGTTCATCTCAACATCTACACACGTGACACAAACGATATCAAAAATCCGAAAAAGTTTTGTATATTCGTTGCGAGACGTTCGGATCGGAAGTCAACCTTTCCAAGCAAGTACGATCAGTGCGCTGCTGGAGGCTATCAGTACGCAGGTGGGGGTTTCGGCAAAGCTCGCGACGCGACCGCGAAAGAATGTCTGAAACGGGAAGTGAAAAAGGAACTGACTGATAGTCTCCCAAAAGAGTGGTTCAAAGATGTTGAGGAAGTCTCTCCGATCCAGTTTGCTGTCCTGCGGGATGAACGATGGGGCGAAGACTTTCTTGGTGCCCCTGAACTCGGCGTCAAAATTCCATTCGATTTGGAAGTGAAAAAAGACCCGATTTTCAAGCCCAATCCGGATGAAGTCAAGTTAATCGAGAAGAAGTCAGTCGGCGAGATTGTCAAAGACCTTCTCGATCACGACTTCAAGCCAAACTCCGCACTCGTGATGATCGATTTTCTGATCCGACACGGCTGTCTGGGAGAGATCTCACCTGGCAACGTTTTGGATCAGATAAACGAAATGCTCCAAAAGCACGCAATTGTCAGTCATCTTCCGTACTGGAAAGTGATGTAAAGAGCCAGACACAGCAGGACGAATACCACGCCAAGCAAGATCTCTGGACACTGTTGCTGGATACTATGGAAGCACCTGCGATACAGAAAATATCGAGAGAGAAAGATGTGTTTTTCAAAGGCACCTAAATGTGCAGAACAATGAAGATTGAGGGCAGGCGCTCGGCATGCGTGTTAAGTGGATCCTAGTATTTTGCGAAACAAACGTTGGAAAAGGAATTTTCTGGTATATCTTTTCAATCTTTTTGTTCTGGAGAGGCAAAATGAAGACTCTGTTGTCGGCATTTCGGTTCCTGAGAGACCGCGAGGCTCCCAGTGTGCTGGTCAAGATGTCACCTCAATGTCTCGGCCGACCTAGAGACGTCCAAGTGCTCATCTAGTATTAGTACCTTATAATACACTCGTTTGAACAGAGACTCATAAGGGTCACTTCTTGTAATAGCAGATGATTACTAGCTGGTTTCTTATACATAATTAGAGGCAGCAAAGGCATACATCGGCGTCCGATGGCGTCAATCCCCTGTCTCGCCGCAGGTCTACAACCTACTACGATACCTGGAAAGATATTCAATTAGGTATCTCGTCGATACTCTTAACTTGAACCTCTTTTACCCCGTTCAACTTGCGTCGCATGCTGCTACTCGCAGCGTAAACTGAAGATGTTAGAACCCGAAGTATCGAGGCATTTCCATCGCCAGGACAAGATGAAGAACCTACCTGCCCGCCGAAGCCTGTTCGAGCTACCCAATGGTTGAAGGCTCTTCAACCCATGCCATGGATCAACACGTGCATAGTCTTCCCAAAATCTCTTCCTCTCGTAGTCGAAACTGTCCTGTTGTGGGATCACAAGCTTGCCAACAGTCTGCCAGGGGTATTTTGATTCATCCCACACGGCGCCTGAATATTCAACAGGCTGATCACTGAGGTTCTCTAGTAGCTGCACTTGGAAGAGATATTCCGCGTCATGGTGTGCATGAAAATTCTGTAGCCACTTTTGCAGGATGGACTCGTCATGCTCTGGCTTCACAGTCTCATCGTAGAGCTTCCTCTGCGTCTCGGTAGATGGCACAAGGGAGTACTTGATGACATAGTTTCCAAACCGGTACGCCGTTTGGGAATACTGTCGCGTGGATTCGAGGTGGGTGTTGCGGACCTGGTCGCGAGCGAGTTGGAGTTGCGCATCTTGGCGAGCGTTGAGCTCTCTATTCAATTCTTCTTTGTTGCCAGCATGCTTAAGCCGGAGGCCGATAATTTCCTTTGTCGTCTTTGCGTCGGCGAGGTCAATGGCCGGGGTGCTGTTGAATTCAATATCCTGAGTTGGAATATCCTTGCCGGCCTCGAACATTTCTCCTTTGACGTTGAACAGCTTCATGGCAAAGCCCCGAGGTTGAGGGATGCGGTCCTGCAAGGTGTGAGCACAGCACAGTACACTTCAAGAGATAGTGATGAGAAGCAAAGAACACTCACATCAAGACCAGGGTCGCCGGGCTCTGAACTGTATCGACATGCTGCAGGGTACTCGCCGCCGTGTTGAAACAGTTCCGTCTGTTTCAAGTGGTGAGGCAGGTCATCAGGGACTATAAACGTGCCTTTGACGATGCCCTGTGTTCTGGCATGGGTACCACCATAGCCATGACGTGTCGAGTTCCAAGTCCTGCGCTGCCCCTCATTGATCATATCAGCAACGGCTTGAATGTCTTCTGCTTCATTTAGGGGCACTTCTTCAACTCCTTTCGCGTCCCACCGCACATATGCGCGTGTGGAAAGGTCCTCGGCTGGAAGGACGTTGCTGGTGATGTTATTCATGGCGTCGCGATCTGATGTTGTTTGCTATCTGAGGACTCGATGTCTCTTCAAGATGGAGAAATCTGTAAAATAGACACGCATCATCCATATTATGGGATTATTCCAGGTATAAATGCTTCCTGCCCATTCATACACAGTAACATTGCCGTTCCTCCATGCGATCAGTGTGACAAGATCGCCCCTGTGATATTTGAGTAGAGTGTGTTGGCTCATGCTAAACCAGGCGCTATGTATTATCCGATCGCGCTACACTGCGACGGCGTCGAATACCCCGCAACAACAGTTCTGGGGTAGTGAAGCTTGTGAGACACTCTTCCAAATTCTGGACGCCAATCAGGGAGTGCCTAATGTAATCCGGATCAACGGTCGAAGGCCTTTGGAAGAGCCTGGCCATCTTACCAACGAGGTATCACTGTGAAGTTAGTGGATTGGATTGGATTCACCCGGTTTTCGTGTAATTCGTCAGAAGCAGTGGGCGTGAGCGGCTATGGTTGGGATCGAGTCGATATAGGGGCTTCTAGGCTGATTTAGCCCAATAAACTCAGTGCTGGCGTACCGACTACCCGTCGACAGCTCAACAAAGGATGGGTACTAGTAGTTACATGTATTAAGCAACAATCGCGCTGGATTCGGAGACTTCCTACTCTCGGGGCCGTGAGGCCAATCTGCCGTGGCGATTTGGGCATTTTCCCCGGGAAGTTCGGCCAATCGGCCCCACCCCCGCCGCGGCCGGAGACGCCGATGTCAGCTGCGGCCCAACTCCACTTCCCTCGATGGTAATCCCCTGTATTGTATTCTAGGGTCGCCACGAGGACCTGGATGATGGACCACGGTCGTGCTTCCCGGTGGTATGCAAGAGCTAATGGCCTGCAGCAGCACAGAAGGTGGGTGGCAGTGATCTTAGAGCGCCAGAATGGGAGTTCGTCCGATCCAATTCTTGAAACAGACTCAGCCGATCACAGAGGCCAGGTACTCCACCAAACATGATCTACCACATCAATAATTTGGGCCACTAATTGTTGATTACTGACTTCGACTATGGCAAGATAGATAGCGACGGGAAATGGAGACATCGTGAGGGCCCTTCGTGTGTATTGACAAGGAACTTACAGCTTCCGCGTATGGCAAGTTGGCAACCCATTGGAGTCGAGCTTTTAGTCATTGGTTCGCCATCAACCTTCCTACAACCGAGGAACCGAATCCGAACGACCAAACAGTCGTTAGAGGGTCGCGTCATTGGTGGCTTGTCCCTCAGCTCACCGTCTGTGGCTTGCAAGTTGCAGCAGGGCTGACAAGCAAACACAGCACCCCGCGCAATGACTGCGCCACGAAACATGACGACAGGATAGAAGCTGAGCCGAGGGCGCGGGCAAGACGCTGAAGAACTTGGCTTGACTGGGGACAAGACGGGAGAGATCCAATCCCCGCCCCGCGTTAGGCTGCTTGCGGCACGTTAGTTATGCCCGCCCCTGCCAATTTCCGCAAGCTCCGTCTGACTAGATGGTGATTAGCGTTCCTTCGAGGCTCTCTCTCAGCAGTAAGCAAGTCTGACGCCTTTTCATAAAGCTTCAGCTCTCCCCTCTTTCTCGATTCTGTCGGGTCGTTCAACAAGCATACCAAACTTCAATCGATACTTCGACTATTGTACATCTCGAAACCTCCATTTCTCTCTCAACTCAGCAACCCCAATCCTTAACATGTCTGCGAACGATTACTACGGAGGCGGCGGCCACAACCAGAACCAGGGATACGGTGGACAGCAAGGATACAACCAGGGCGGCTACGCACCTCAACAGCCCACCTATGCACAGGTAAGAACTTCAACAAGATAGGACTCAAGTTGACAAGAAGCAACATCGAGACTAGTAACACTAACACTTCCGAAGGGCCAGCAACACCACGGCAGCGGCGGCTACCCCCAGCAGTCACATTCTCCGTACCAACAGGGCGGTGGCTACAACGCCCCTCCCCAGCAGCAGCACGGATACGGCGGACCCCAACAACCCACCTACGCCCAGGGCAACCAGCACCAGCAAAGTTACGGCCACGACAACCGAGACAGCTTTTCCCACAACCAGCAACTGCAACATGGCGCACCTCAGTATGGTGGACAGTCCCAATATGGCGGCCAGCCTCAGTATGGTGCTGGTCCCGGCGGTCCTGATCAGGATAAGGGCCTCGGCGCAACATTAGTCGGTGGCGGAGCGGCTGGATGGGCGGCGCACAAGGCCGGCGGCGGTTTCATTGGAACTGTGGGCGGTGCGATTCTTGGCGCTATTGGTGCCAATAAGATAGAGCACGCGTTGGAAGAGTGAGTGTCTAATGTTCGCCTCGAAATGCCCAAGCTGCACGACTAACATGGACCAACTACAGCCGAAACGACAAGAAGAAGCATAAGAAAAAGCATGGCAAGAAGGACGGGCACCGCAAGCGCAGCGGTAGCAGCAGTTCGAGCTCCAGCAGCAACTAGGTAGCTGCCTCCCATGTTTCTGTGATAACTTCTGGTGCCTAAATTCGGATGATACCCCCCGATTCAATCTCTGTCAAGCGCACCAGGAGAACGACTGCCGATGAATGGTTGGATCTCATGACCTGCACTCATAGACGATAATGTATTATTAGCCACGGATGACAACAATTGAAGTGAATGAACGCAAGGGATGAGGGTCTTTAGCGCATTGCTTTCTCTATTGGTATCTTAAATACAGGCTTTACTATTACAACACCGTCTCACTCCATCGTCTTCAGATCCTTTGCGACCTCAAATGTTGCATCCGTCTTCGACTTCACTTCTTCGACGTTAACACCGGGCGCGACCTCGGTTAGTGTCAGACCGCCATTCTTGCGATCGACCTCAAAGACACACTATTGTCATGTTAGCGACGAGTCTCTTAATCAATCATCTGATACCACGCTCAACTCACCAGATCAGTAATGATTGTGCTGACAACACGAGCGCCAGTCAACGGCAGACTGCAGTCCTGCACAATCTTGGAAGAGCCGTCCTTGGCAACATGCTCGGTCGCGACAACGATCTTGGTGTTGTCGGGATTAGACACCAAGTCCATAGCACCTCCCATGCCTTTGAACACCTTGCCGGGAATCATGTAATTGGCCAAGTCGCCCGTGGCGCTGACCTGCAGCGCACCGAGGATAGAGACATCTACATGGCCGCCACGGATCATGCCAAAAGACTCGGCGCTGTCGAATGTTGAAGCGCCGGGAACGAGGGTCACAGTCTCCTTGCCAGCATTGACGATGTCGCTAGAGTTGGACATGTCAGCTCATGCATCTCAAGTCCTCTCAAAGGTATACATACGCGTCGACCTGGTCCTTGGTAGGGTAAGGACCCATGCCCAAGATTCCGTTCTCAGATTGAATCCACACATTGCGTTCAGCCGGGAGGAATGAGGGAGCCAGAGTCGGAATACCTATCACAGTAAGTACCTCTCTTCAAGCCTTACGGGGCATAGTCTCAACTCACCAACGCCAAGGTTGACGTAGAAACCCTCCTGCAACTCCTTTGCAGCGCGTCTGGCAATGCGATTGCGCCTTGCCTGCGCATCATTCTTGGGTGCATTCAGATCTTCGCCCTCACCATCCTCCGCCCTTGTCTTGAGAATCTCAATGTTCTTCTCGGCGGTCGAGGGCACGATTCGGTCGACGAAGATTCCGGGCAAGTCGACGTCGTTGGGGTCGATTGCGCCCGCCTCGACAATATTCTCCGCTTCCACGATAGTGACTGTTGCGGCCTTGGCCATGATGGGTCCGAATGCTTTGGTGGTGTATCTGCACGGAGAGACAGTTAGCAAGTTCCTTCGCTCAGTCAATTCGCAAGTAGTTTTCGTACCTGAACACGCAGTTTCCTGCTGTGTCCACTTTCCATGCTCTCAAGATGGCCACATCTCCCGTAAGTGCAGTCTCCATGAGATACGTCTTGCCGTTGAATTCTCTTGTCTCCCTTGTGCGCCCGCGCTCTTTCACCCCGCCAGAAGCATCTAGTTTGACAGGAATGTCACCACTTTGAACCAAAGAGTCTACTCATGTCAGCTACATCACTCAGATCCTGTCATGGTACAACCTACGAGCTCCAGTGGGCGTAAAGAAGGCGGGAATTCCAGCGCCACCGGCACGGATCCTCTCGGCGAGCGTTCCCTGAGGGCACAGCTCGATGCCGATCTCTCCAGTGAGATACTTCTTCTCCAATGCCTTGTTGTTTCCAAGGAATGACAGGATCAGGCGGTTTACCTGACCAGCCTTAGTGAGGACAGCCAAACCGCCCTTGCCTTCTTGGCCGGCATTGTTTGAGACAGCTGTAAGCGAGTGCAGGTTCTCGGGACCCCTGCGGTTTAGTGCGGCGATGATTGTGTCTGTCGTCGAACATGTCAGCCGTTTCCCGATTCTTTGGCAGTGCAGATAGATCATCGCCAAACAAGACTAACCTGCAACACCACAGAGCCCGAAACCCGAACTCAGAATAGTAGATCCGCTCTTGATGTCTGCGACAGCCTCATCGGCAGACGCATACAGCTTCGAACCACCTCTCTTCGTAGCAGGCGCCTTCTGTGATCGGCGGATCGGTGTCGTCGTTATGTCACGGCATGTCGCAACACCAAGGACCTTTGCGCGGGGGAAACGCTGAGGATGCGCACACACTGCGGGCACAGCTCTGAGGGATGCGCGGACCAGCACCCGCGGGCGCAACTGGCGAGTAATGGAAGACATTTGTTCGGTCCTTTTCTGGAGGAAGAGGCAGGCTTATCCACAAAACACAAAAGGGAAGGTTTCAATCAATTGTGACGAGAGATCAGAGATTAAGCACAAGTAAAAGAAAAAGGAAGGCCGATTGTCGGGGGACATTTCTAGGTTCGGGTTAGGTGGGCGCGACTTCATCTTTTTGAACGGATTGCTGCGCAGTACGCCTCGGCTGTTCTTTTGCGCGCCGACCACGACGGAGTCCCTCCGCTCCCGCGGTTCAGTAGTGGCTTCGGCATGAGGGGGAAGATGCAGGCAAAGACAGGGGAGTCTCTGACGTCTTCGTGGCGGGGCATCGGGAGTTGTGGGAACTCGGAGTTTCTTCTGCAGTAGCTCTCGGTGACCAAAAGTAGACTCCGAGTCAGCTCTATGGCGTACAGTAAACAAAGGCTTGTCATTGGTCTGGACGGGATGACGGCAAGGTCAAAGAGACGATCCGGGGATGGTCTAAGATGCTACCCGCCGTGGGTTCGTCCTCCCCCGCAGATTTGGGGTCTGGGGAAGACGGGCTTCAAAACGGGGGAGGGACCCCCAAGCTTTGCCCTTGCTTGGCAGATAGAAACTCGGGTCTTGTTGTCTTGTCTTCTCTGTTGTTCTCGTCTTTCCAGTCTCTTCATAGAGTTTCCCAAGGTTACACTGCCAAATCTTATTCGAATTCAACATGACATCGAAAGACTTCGACATGGATCCCAAGGTTGAGCATGACGAGAGCCACCTGGAGGTTGAAGCGGAACGCCAACGGCATCTCACGAGGACTTTGCTCTTCAAAGTTGACACTAGGTAAGCTTTTCCCCCAAGTTTTCAACTACAAGCAACCCTTTTGAAGACTCATTCCAACTTACACGCAACGATTGACAGGGTCCTACCGCTTTTGGCCCTACTGTTCCTCTGTTCCTTTCTTGATCGAACCAACGTCGGCAACGCAAAGATTATTGGCCTAGCCGAGGACCTTGGCATCAGTAACAACCAATACAACCAAGGCTTGGCCGTCTTCTATGCGACATACATCGCGAGGTAACATCTCTCCATCCGTTCTCAGCTGATCTTGGCGCTGTCAACGTGCTCTCGTCCCATGTGGTTCCCCACAGTCGTCCGGTCGCTAATGCACGCCCAGCGAACTGCCAAGCAACCTCGTCTTGAAGAAGGTCTCACCGCGGATATGGCTCCCCTTTCTTACCTGTGCTTGGGGCATTGTTAGTACGTACACGGATCAACAGTAATCGGTCTCATTATCATCCATCACTAACTTTGCAAAGCCATGTCTCTCGGCTTCGTCCGTAGCTACGGCAGCTTCGTCGCAGTCCGAGCAATCCTGGGTCTGACTGAGGGTGGGCTGCTTCCCGGAATGGTGCTGTATCTTTCTGGCTTGTACACCCGCGGAGAACTTGCACTGCGCATTGGTATCTTCTACACGGCTGCATCTCTCTCTGGTGCATTTGGAGGTCTTCTCGCCAGAGGCTTGTCCGCGATTGGTCCTGCGGCTGGCCTTGAAGGTTGGAGATGGATCTTCATCATTGAGGGCATCATTGTAAGATCTTGAACCCCGGCCATGGAACTAGTGAGTGTTAACATGCTTCCTTAGACGGTCGTCTGTGGAATCATTGCCGCTATTGGCCTACCAAACAACCTGGCGACGGCGAAGATCCTAACGGATGAAGAGCGAGAGTGGGCGCTGCTCCGGCTCCAAGGTCATGCTGGAGACCGATTTGAGTAAGATCCCAAAGCCAAACTGTAAAGAACCTCGACAACTGACATATTCACAGCTCTTCACGCGAAAGGGAGGAGAAGTTTCGATGGTCCGAAGTTGGTCGCGGCGTTTTCAACCTTCAGATCTGGCTCAGCGCAACTGCCTACTTTGCCATTCTGTCTGGTCTATACTCCTTTGGTCTATTCGTAAGCTTCTTGGTTTCATACGTATTGTCACACAGCTGATTGAGACCAAAAAGCTCCCGACAATCATCAACGATATGCATATCGCTTCCAACTCAAATCAAGTTCAACTTTGGTCCGTGATCCCGTACGCGGTCGCGACCCCCGTTACAGGTGAGCGATGGCAAAAGATTAAGAATAGAGACTAAGCTCGAAGCTGACTTCCCTCATAGTCCTCGTTGCCTTCCTATCCGATCGCCTCCGCCTACGTGGCACACTCATGCTCTTCGTCCTGCCCATCTCCATCGCGGGCTACGCAGCCATCGCCAATGTCACGGCGCCACAGACGAGATTTGCAATGACATGCCTTATGGCCATTGGCATGTACAGTGCCGTCCCGTGCGTCTTGGTTTGGAACTCCAACAATTCGGCTGGCCATTACAAGCGCGCGACAACGTCCGCGCTTCAGCTTGCCATCGCCAATTGTGGCGGGTTCGTAGCGAGTAAGTTTGCAATACGCATCAAACAAGAATCTCACTGACTGGATTTGCAGCCTTCATCTACCCTAGCACTGATGGCCCATTGTACCATAAGGGCCACACTATCATTTTGGGACTGCTATGCTACGCATGGGTGGCGTGAGTAAAACCATACGCTGTTCGTGGTTCAAGATACTAACAGAAAGTCCAGGACCTTTATAAATGTTTTCTGGTGCGCCAAGATCAACCGCGATAAGGCTGCTGGGAAGTATGACCAGTTCGTTGGTACAGGTGATGATCGGGAACCTCACTTTAAGATGGTGTTGTAGGAATGGCTAAGCGATAATTGGGTGTCGAGAAGTGAAGC